AGGTAATTCAGATATACAAAATAAACAATCAAATACAATATTGACCCGATGTTTTCAAAAGGTAAACATGTAAAGTATAGCCTTTATAAAGATAACATTTTTGCGTTGGTGCTTGACTATTAGTGCAAATACAATAAACAAAGATAAAGGAAACCAATTACTGTTATCTATTTAATAATGAAAGAATGGAAGAAAAAGAATAAGAAATTGACAAGAGAAATTTATGTTGCATGGTGTTGCGGAGATAAAAATAAATTATATGAAAATCTGCATGATGATGTGTACATGTATATACGCGTAAAAAGTAAAATTTGTTGTTGTTTTTTTTTTCAAAATATATTGTAGGTATTATTTAATGAGAAAAGTTACAGTGTATGAAAAAAGAGAGATCTAACTTACATAGTTAATTTTAAAGTCTTATAAACGAAATCGGTCGAATTGTAATTAAAGAGTTGTGAGTCGGAGATAAAATTGTCAAACGAATAAGATATAAATTAACAAGTCATTTTTAGATAATTATATTTTGAGTATTTTCGATGAATATTTTTCACTCCACAAAAGTCACGTGATTTAGTGTTTCAGCGTTTCGTAAATAAGATAAAATATTTTAAAGCATGCACTTCTGTACTTCATGTTTCATGAATATGCATTAACAATAAACCTGTTATTTGTTTATAAATTGACAGAAATGTTTGACTTTTTTTGTATTAATTTGTTAAGTTGTATGATGTTTTAGAATAAAAATAAACGAGCTTTATTTTCTGAAAGAAACAACAAGTTTAAAGACGAATTTGTTTCTGCCCCTTTTCCTTTACTTTAAAGCATACAGTTGAAATAAATCATTACACTTAATCAAGACGAAACTAAAATAAGATTAAATGACCGAAATAATGAGTTTTGCGTCTTCACAGGTGTTTTATTTAATTTTGTTTTGCCAAATACATTTAAAGAGATTACCACATTTAAATTTACACAAGAATAATAACAATGACTAAAAAAAATGAAAATTTAAAAACTTCTATAAAACAGACGAAATCTCAGTTTTCTCTCTGGGTTTATTTATTTATAGCCATCAATCATTAAATGAATAATGCATTGTTTTTACTGTTAATAGATATATTAAATGTGAAACAGCCTATCCCCACTTCAAACTACCTGAGGGTTAACTTTATAGTAGTTAAGTAAAGTGTCAGCAGTAACAAAACACACTGGCAACCTGTCAACACAATGATGACCTTCGCTCGAGACCTTATGATAATTTGCACGTGTCACCTGATGTCATTTATCTTTTCTAAAAACGTTCAAATATATGTTATGATGTAAGATTACATACAGATCTGATGTTTTATATTAGATATCCGAAGTTTGACGGAAAAGGCCGAAAAGCGATTGCCAAGCAAAAGAAAAATGGAGGACTAGTTGCTTAATAGAAATAACTCATATTACGCAACGCAGTTACGGTTTAAGGGCGGGACGAATTGAGCATTTATAGATTTGAATGAGTGAAAATTAAATGACTTGTAATCATGTAGTCCGTGTGTAAATCTCAAATACAAATAAAGTATAAATGAAGATGTAAACGTCTGGTCCGAGAAATCTGAACTACCAAATTGCAATCATACATATAGAGGAGACACTATTCGATTGAAAGGCATTTGTTATTTATTAAATAAACACATTCGCATGGAGTTGTAGCTTACCTTCTTCACAAGTTTTCCATCTCATTAGCTAACGCCCTCTAAATATTATGCTTTAAATGAAATCCCTCCGGAGTACTTGTGATGCCTTTTAGGCCCATATATATATGAATACTATAACCTTATATATATACACTCATTTGATTTTTACGATACGTGTCGTTTTGTTTCATTTATTTAATATGCTTAAACCGTTCGATTTTATTTTTTACTGACATCAAGTACTGTATTGCTGTCTATATAAAAATATTTTTGCTTTTTTAAAGGCATCTTTTCACACAGGTTTCACTGTATAAAAAAATAAATTAAAATAACACAATATAGACATTTAAATTAAACGCAATGTGTTGTTAAACAAGAAAATACAATCAAGGGGTAGGTTTTTCGGTTCTTTTTGTAATTGTCTATTTAAAACCTCGTTTTTTTGTATGTCTGTGTAACATGATTGATAACGTGCGTTCACGTCATATTATTATGTAACGCAATGACGGCCATCAAAATTAAGACTTTTTAGTACATGCTAATTAGTGCAGGGGTTGTGTATTGTTAAACTTACATACTTACGGTTACACTTTGTTATATACCTTTAATAATATTAATGGATAATTTAGTTTAAAACTATGGGAGGACAACAGTCGGGATTATCTCACTATGGTAACGTTTTAATCTTAATGTTTAAATGTTAACATGAACTGTTACGTTACGTTACGTTACGTTACGTTACGCCATGTCAAAGTATTTCTCGTAAATGAAGTTTTCGTGTTTTCCTCTAAAAGAGTAAATATTGAAATTTATGTTGATAACTAATTAACTAGTGGTTTTAAAATGGCAAAAGCTGCGTTTTTGTTGTTGTTGAAAATTGATTGTTTCTGCGCGACATGGCTGAAAAATGCACTGTTGACTCAAATGCTAGATAACTTTCCTATAACAATACAGGATCAATTCGTTTTTCAATAGAAAGTTTATTTAGTGTCTTTATAGGCAGTTATTTTCAGTACTTCAAACAAATACATTCATAAAACACGGGTTAAAGGGTCACTTTATTGTGGACATAAAAATGGACTTCAAGCTTTACTAATGTTACACGCCGTTTCTAAAGTTATAAACTGCATGAGAGTGTTGTTGGACCACATTTGTAACAAAACACACTTCTAACAGATTGGTAACATGAGGGATTGCAATCGTTACATTTTTAATATGTTACACTTCTGTTTGTCCGAAATGGGGGTTTATATTATAATCACAGTGATGTGTTTTTTCAGAAATAGTAAAATTTCATTAAACATCTAATATTATATTTAATATCACCAGTGCCGTTATTACTTTGGCGTATCGGTTATAGCTGTATGGTTGCAGTCCAAGTAAATCGTTAAAATTGACTTAATTAGTTTAGCCAATTCTAGCTGTTTCAAGTGTGATGTTTGCATGTACTAGGCTCGACTGAGTTTAAAGAGCACCACTTGGTTGGTCTAGATTCTTCTGTGCGTTGAATCTTTTATTGTAATATTACAAAAGAAGGTAATACCAGTAATGTGTTGCCACTTTAACGCGGCTGTGCGGAAATCACGTCTGTCACCGCAATGTTTAGTAAATACCGGACCAAACTTTGAGTGGGGTTCGCTTAGCTTATGCAATTTTTATAGGGATAATTATGTGGAAAATACCATCGTAGCTTCATACACGGCGGGAAATTATTTTGCATTTATGCTTTTATTTCCATTACACATTTTTAACACCCGTTACGCATGTGATTTCATTCATATGAATTGTTTTACATACGACTTGTTACCTATGAGGTCTATAAAATGTTATACACCTACTTCATATATAACACATATCTACACACAGGATGTTTTGATTTTTTTACAGACGGTTTGAATAAAAATTCTAAAAACCGGCAAAAGCTATCTCCATCAAACATTATAATAAACAGAAAATTTGATATACAGTATACCACTTTTTACAAGGTTATTTTCAACTTGAGTTGGTTTACCGTTTACGTATAAATTTTTTTGGTATAAATTACGTATAATTACACTTAGGTGGAACAACACGTTAATATTTTGATGAAATTGTGGTTCAAAGGCCCTGCTCGACATACCTTAAGCGGATACCTGTAAAGTATTTATTGCAGAGGGACTAACTGTTGTTTTTTCAGATCCCCTTTTTATTTTAACCCAAACTTTACGTAACTTTATTGCTAACTGCATTATATGTCTCCTTAACAATATAATGAAACTCTTGCACAGCTCGAAATAAAGTGATAAGCATATTTCCATAGTATACATGTAGAAGCCGACTAGCTTGCACATCAGGGCAATCTGACCAGGCTCTTGTTGACCGCTTGGTCTTGACAACCAAGAAATTGATAATAGACATACCAGATATGGATGCTGGACAAGTCCATTAACAAAAAATTCTGCAGGTTAAAATGTTCTTGTAGTGGTAGTCACACAGTAAACATACCCATATAGGCTTTATCCAATTCCGAGCGTCCACCTGACTGTTGGATTCTATCTTGGGTCGTACTCATTATTATTTCGTTAACGATAGGATTCGTCAGTATTTCCCCTTGTACCTAAAAAACGACAGTCATTCTTGGCTGGTCTTTAATAGTTTGTAAAGCATTTAATGCACCGTGAGAAACCAGGTTATGAACAAAACGATTCATTGTTCTCCCATCTGTTGTAAACAGTTTTATTATTGTCTATAACAAAGGTGTGCTATATTCCAATGACAAATACTTGTAAAACAAATAAAAACAGTTACAATCATTTAATTGCTATTGACATTACTTCTCTTAAAGCTACGCCCAGCTGTAGACTTTTGCTATTTACAACAGTTAATTAAGTTATTATGTTACCTAGAATTGAAAGTGATTATTGCTTTGGACAACAGTAAAGGACCAGGCCAGCCTACATCTCCGTACAGTCTGACCAGGATCTTTACTGATATGTGACTCTTGATTTTAATATAAAAACATCGATAATGGACAGTTCGAAAAATGGAACTTTAAATAAATTTAGTTTTTAAAGGTTGAAAAACGTGACCAAGACTACATTACATTTAAGAAACAAGTACATTTATTGACGTGTCGGTTTTGTCATTCAACCACAGTGTCAAAACCGTTCCCGGAAAGTCTAGTTAAAGACTTCGATAACAGTCCTGTTGTATTAATTTTGTTATTAGCAGCTGGCTCGTAGACATTTAAATTTGTCACCTGCGACGAGACAATTACTTATTCATATGTATATCATTTAAAGACAGTACCAAGTATTTACGTTCTTATCTTTATATTTTCAGATTTTGAACACGAGTTTCTGGAAGCAGAACGCAAGGCTATATCGAATTCCGAGCGTTCACCTGACAAGATGGAGGCTGAATATGTCGGATTCTATCTTGGGTCGTCAATGCTCACGAAGGGAACGACAGGACTTGGTGTTATACAAAAACCACTTCGTGATAAATACTTTGCATACAGGAAATCGTCTGACAATAAAATTGGACCGGAAATAGGAATTAGAATAAATCCTAGAGGAATTATTCTTTTATTTCCAGGAGGTCATCCTGGGCAACCAAACGATGAATTTTATGACATATCTTCAGTTCATTTCATTGAAGCGGTGCAGTTTGTTACAGTGAAAAATAAGGATAAAAAATTCTACGGAGCATTTCTTCCTATTGACGAACCTGAAGGAAATCCAAGCCAAGATAAGTTGTTTGTGCAAATAGAAAAGAAATTTAATCATTTAACAAAAATATCTCACCCTCCTATGTTAGCATGTGTAATGCGCAGACCAACGGGTGTTAAGGCAGTCGATTGCCACATGTTTGTGATTCCAGTCGTTGAGGACGCTTTACGAATTGCAGACATGGTACATAGATTCCAAGAGCGTCCAGATAACCCAGAATTTTATCATGGTCGTCCGCCACCAGATCCGCGTGTTTTCCCGCCAGAGCCTGATGTCATTCCTAGAAACTTAGGACCACCAGGACCACCTCGAGAACGTGATTCCCGAAATTCGGGACAACGTGAGTCTGATGATTATGCATTTCTATATAAAGGTAGGGGTCTTGAACTCAAGCAAGAACATTTTATTAGAGGAAATGACAATGATGACAGGAGATTGGAGACCAACAGAAGTTACGAACGTGATTTTCGCGAAGAACCCCATAGATATCCGCCTCCAAATTCTGGAAGATCAGGGAGTCTTGAACTAAGAGACAGGGAAAGAATGGGTCCACGTGACTTTGACAGGGACCCATATCCGGACAGATTACCTCGAGAAATGGTAACATCAAGTGGTAGATATGTTGAAAGGGATTCTTTTGGAAGTGAACATGAATTTGATAACAGAATTGTACATGAACGTCAGCGCTCTGGAGGAGATAGGGAGATAAACAGATTTTCCGGTGGTATGTTACCAAGAAACGAATACCCAGACAGACGATCTGGTGGATTGTCTCCCAGAAACGAATATTCAGACCGACCAAATCTACCTCCAAGGGGAGATTACAATGGTCCACCTAATCGGGGACCTGAAAATTATCCAGGCGGCAGATTCCCCGACACGTCTACAGATCAGCGCCGTGGACAACCTCCACCATGGCAAGGTAGAGGTTCTGGTGAAGAATCTCGTAGTTACGAATATTCAAGACCTGTTAGGCGAGATCAGCATCCTAGATCGCCACCTTTGAGTCCACGTGGTCGGATTTCCCCGCGATCACATTCTCCACCGAGAGGACATTCCTCTCCGCGTGGACAGTCACCGGAAAGGGACGATCAAGTTTATTCGGCATCGAACCTTGAAAGCCGGATGGAGGAAGTACAAAGTGGGAAACCGGTAGCCAAAGTGCCACCTAATCGGCACGCAGGCGTTCGTGTTTTACCAAGTTTACCATTTGCCGATGCTAAAAACATTCTAAAACCAGTATCTCCTCGTACCTCTGATGTCCCAGCCAAAGCCGAGGAAAGACCTCCGACGTATAATTTCAATACCAAAGGTGATAGCGACGAAGAGGAAAGTCCGTATGATAATAACACGGACTATAGACAATTAAACAGACATCCCAGACCAAAATCTGAAAATAGCCCTCCTGCTCAAAGAAGAACGGACTATAGTCATAATATGAGAACTAAAAGTGACGATTACGGTTCTAAATATGGAAATAATTTAGGGGTTGGTAACCCACAACCACCTAAACAGTGGTCGTACGAGGACGAAAAAGAAAAGTTTTTAAAAACGAGAGATGGGGGCGGGTGGAGTAGTGCTAACAAGTCTAAATCCGCCCAAGATGGTTTAAGTGGGCCAGGACTAAATGACAGGGGTGGAAGACATATGAAAGACATGGAGATAGAAGATATGTTTTCTAATATGAGGACCTCTAATCCAGGTCGAAGTGACTTAGATTTTGAAAGGTCTTTGGGGTATTTGCCATAAGGAGTAATGAATCTTTGTAGTGTTTTCTTTGTTTTGGGTACATACGCTAATCTTAAATATGAAGAGAGAGCAGCATGGACAGTTATGTACAGTCAAATGATTTCGAGACAAGACATGCGTCCAGCCAACTGAGAATTTTGAAAAAAGGGGTTTGGAGCCGTTTGTCTTGAAAGTTTTTTAGTTGATTAAAAAGTCGAATTAGGAAGGAGTAATATACATTCAATGTAGCAAGTGAACAGGTGTAATTATTATTTAACGGGCAAGTTTGAATTTCCAGTTAGACCTGTTTTTCATGCTCTTTTGTAATCATTGATCATGTCGCTACAAAGTAGTGTAGATCTATGATTTGTTTTTTTAATTGTTTTGTTTACACATAAATATTCTAGATATTTTACTAAACAACCTAACATGTGTTTGACACTATAAATATATTTTTATTGCTAACATATGAGACAGTTTTTGTTAACTCTCGTTTGATCTATCATGTTATGAAGCATACATAATTTATGTTTCACTTTAAAGCAGCACGTCTCCAGATTCGATCTTATTTTCATGACAATTTTGAAAATGTATTAAAGAATACAATATTGTCAAGTGAACAAAATAAGTAATTAACACATGTTCAATCCACGTAAATTATCAAATAAAGGTCACCATATGAACAAGTAGCCTGTACTGTGTTCGTCACGCAGTAGATACTGCAAAATCAGTCAGTCATTCATTGCATATAACATGATGTCTGTATATCATTACTTTAATTGCAAATATTTTTACTTTTCTTTGCAGCTTTAAGACAACGTAACTTCAAAATATCTTTTTCTAACCTAAATGCAATAACATTTAACGGTGAGGCATTATAATATTTTAAAAAGTGGATGCGTGCAAATTTGATATATTCGTATACCTTTGATTTGCTTAAGATACGTTTCTTATTTTCTTCATAATTTTTTTTTATGTTATGATATGAAAAATGTTACACTACATATTTCATAGCATCTTTACTGCATTAAAATGTTATATGTGGTTCAAATAACATTTATGTATTCAGTTAAGTTTCATGAACCCGTTTTTCATAAAAGAATATATATTGCCTTATAAATATCTGTTTATGCAACGTAATACACATTTTTGATGTGTGAAAACCATATTGTACGCCGACTTCTTACCCCGGCCTTGGAGTCATTTTGCGCAAGTTGGTACCAAAACTAGTCTTCTGTAGGGAATAGGTACTTATTTTTTTAGCATAAAAGGAGGTCTAAGGCCCATAACACTTAACATTGATTTTGACAAAATTATGGCCTTTTAACTTAAAGATACTGCTTTATAATGATTCTTGTAATAGTAGTCGTGCACGTTGTCATCACGACAGCTGTTGTTTAATCTGTTAATTTTTACGTGTTTTTTTATCAACAATTTTGTCATTCAAACCTTATAAAAGACTCCTTAAAATGAAATACCGGTTTATATTTTTGTCATAATGTAAATGAAGTAACTATCAGTATCAGATTTTATAATGCTTTATTTCGGTAAGCTAATAAATGGTAATTTATTTCACTTCCGGTGTCGTTTCGTCTTTGACATAATGCACGAAGTCACATGATTTCTACCTCCACCAGAGAAGCTGGGCAGTTTCCACACGACTTTTACAGCCTCGTTATGACTGACTTAAATAATCATAGAATTTAGATTTAATACATGCATTTGTTTGCTTATTATGCATTTAATAGACTGTGTTGAAAGTTGATTACAAAATTATAAGATTTAAGAGTCACCAATTTAAAACAGACTTTTTACTTTGTCATACAAAGGTACATGTATAATAATAACGCATTGATTAACCGGCTGCGAGAAAAACAGTCAGCTGTGGGTGCAACATCTAGCCGGACTTAATTTTCAGTATATTTAACATTTGGTTAAGTGTTTTCTTCATATGCTTCTGTGATACTATCAAAATCATTCTTAAAAGACTCCCGTTATCTTATATATTTATAGTATAATTTGTTCAATCAGTTCGACTAACTTTGTAGCTGGTTTATTAAAGAATATTTTAACCAGAACATGTTAACAAGCTGGTCTTTTGTATATGAAAGAAAATATTAAATATTTTGTAACAACAACGGTTTTGTTTCATCATTGCATGATTTTTTGGCCGGGTTGCATAGGTGCAAACCCTGGTTATAGATGGTGAATGTCGGGCGGCGGCGGGGAAAAAATCGCAGTTTTCTCAACAATTACTTATTTCACCTCTTGATTTATGGCATACAACATTAACGTGTGGTCCCATATCGTGGGATTCGAGTTCAGGTCTGTCGCTCATCCACTTTCTGTTTACCAACTTAGTTAAATTTTCGACATTAATGGTCAATGGTGTAAAATTTCGTAACAGTTTTCTCACAGCCTCTTGATATTTGGCATACAACAATAACACTTGGTTCCATACCGTGGGGTTCGATTTCAGGTGTTCCTGTTTACCAACTTAATTAAATTTTCGACATTTATGGTCAAAATTGGGAAATTTTCGTAACAGTTTTCTTACAGCCTCTCGATATTTGACATATGAACCCATAATGAGGGCTTTTGCTGATTCACTTCCTGTCTACCAATTTACATTAATGGTCAATGGTAAAAATTTTTCGCAACATCACAGCTTCATGATATTTGTTATACAAATGCAACCCGGGCCTTTCTGACTGACTTATATTGTTTGTTGAATGGTAAAGCTAAGGGAAATAATCGAAATACAAATATAGGATTAAAATGTCAAGAGTTTTCACTCTTTGTGTAGTACCCGTAGAAACGAAAGGATTTATAAAAGCATATAGCTAACTTCTCTATGAAATGCTGGCCCATATGGTCATTTTCCGGCGGCAAGTTTAAGAATGAAATTCTTACAATAGAATCATATCATTAGACAGTTATATTTTACGCGTGGATCAATGATGGTTTAACATGATCAAAGTTTATTTAAAGGGAAAAAAATAAAGATAAAACAGGATTTAAACAACAAGTTATTCATCTTATATAAACGCATTTTTATAAAAAAAATAGTAATTTTCAATTAAAATTTAAAGGAACAAAGTGTGAGTATACTCTTGTAGATGTAAATTTTATCAAATGAAAAATGTCCATGTATAAAGTTTCTCTTGACAACGTCATTAGTTGATCAAAATTAAAATATTACCAGATTTATGCATTTCTAACCTTTGCTATTTGCCAGTAAACAGAATAGTGCGCAATTTTGTTAATGTTTAATATCAAATTTTGTTTTCAACTCAACTGTAATAAAATGTTACAGTCTATTGAAACAAATCCTTAGCCAGCTTGGTGGATTTTAATAAAATTATTAGTTGCTTTGGAAAGTCAAGTTTACTATTGAAGTCAATGGTTGCAATATTGGTCACTGATTGCCATGGAAAGGCACTGGTTGCTATGGAAAGTCACTGGTTGCAAGAGGTCTATGTCAACCATGGAAAGTCAATGGTGGCTATATAAGTCAAAGGTTGCTATGTAAGTCACTGGTTGCTATGGAAAGTCAGTGATTGCTGTAGAAAATCAATGGTTGCTATGGAAATTTATGAGCTTTTTGAGAAAGCTTCCAGGATCTATTACCCAACACTGATGCCATATGAGGAAATCAGAGGGTTTAAACCTAGAACGAATTGATCGACGGCAGGTACTCCAGCCACTAAACCACTATACAAAATTAAAAGATGACCACGTAATATTTCAGAATTTAATACCAACTTTTCAAGGAAGTTTAATTACATAATTCAACAAATTAAAATATGGTTGACATCATAAACAAAGTTATGCAATATCATTTCAGACATTTTTGAATAGGTAACATAGAAATGTTCATTGATACTAATAATGTTCGATTTGCAAAATAAAAAGACAAAAACATGAAGCTGTCACATTTTCCCTTTCAATAAACAACAAAGTTATCAAGTTAAAAAAGTATTAAAAGTTTTAGGAAAGGAAATAAAATACATTGTAATGAGTTCTGTAAAGAAAATGTGCATGTTCAATTGTATACATGTATATTGATATGTCATTCCATAGTTAATTAACATGAACTTAAATTAATAAGGTCAATTCATTTACCAAATATAACCAGCCACAATAAATATTTTTAGGGAAAGATCAATTTTGTTTAATTTTGAACATTTATACTAGCTAAAAAATTAAATGAGTGTTTCATTATTTGACAATTAAAGATATATATGCATATCTTTAAAAAGACATTTGAATCCATTTAAGACAGACAGGTAACCAAACAAATGGATGTTGATGTTTCTGGTTTATGTGTTATTTCAAATCATGACCATGGTAAACTACAATTACCCTGTACATTGAGATGTTACATTTATAAAAGGAAAATAATAAAATATTATTCATTTATATTACCTTTACCAAATAAACATTGACAATAAATTTTGTTTACAAAATATAAGAAGTACGTGTATCAAAGAAGAGATAAAACAAAATATGTAGCCTATATATTTTCCCTTTCAAAATGTTACAGTATTTAGTAACAAAACACAAAGTTCTCAAGTTATACAAGCAAGGAAAATTTAAAAGAAATGCATAAATGATGACTTGTTATTTGCATTCTTGGATTATTAAAGTTTGAATACTGAAAGAAATTATGCTTTTACAACAGATAATCAAAAGATCAGTAACTATTAGTAGTTTAAAGGACTCCGGAGTACTGAGGCCCAAAAGCCTAAAACTACAAAATTTGAATTTCTTACATAGATCAGCTGGGGCACTTAAAACAGAAAGATATGTCAAAGTCTTTGAAAAAAATGTAAAAATATACACATAATTTATTTGAAAATCGGGTTTTTTGTACTACTATAAGATCGATTTGACTGTAAAGCATTGCAACACTTTTAAATATTGTGTTATTTCAATTAAAATAATTATTCTGAAAAAAACTGAGAGAGCAAAATTTATGATCTGAAATTTTGCACAATTGCTCTAGACCAACATTAATGGAACATCAATATTGAAAATTTATGTCAAGTCCTGTTGTGCTATAAATCTCAGTGGAGTTCCTTTAATACATAATGAATTTGCAATATTTAAAGTCTATATGTTACCAAAGTAACCTGATTTTTTAGAAAAATATTATGATGTTAGTATTATGATTTTATCCATATTGTTATTTTGAAAGTTTTCAGCACTTTTTAAGTTATCACTGGATCCAGTGCTTGTGGGAAAATGAACAGACAGACTGGGCAAACAGACCTGAAGTGCCCACAGGTTAAACTGGTCCTCCACATTATCATCTTTATGTTGTATTTTTTCAACTTTCATTGAAAAAATATCTTATACAAATTATACAATATGACCTTTACCTTAAAGCCCTAAAGCCCAGAATCAAAAGGGGTCATTTACTGTCCAAGACCAATGATCCAATAAAGTATGAGTGTCAAGGGCCAGTTAATTGTCAAGTTATGTCAAAAACCTTTTTGTTGTCAATGTGACCTTGACATTCACATTAACCTGCAACCCCAAAAACTATATGGGTCATCTACTGCACCTATGAAGTTTGAAGGCCAATGGTCAATGGGTTGTCGAGTTATTGGTCTGAAGCCGTTTTGGTACATAAGGTCAATGTCATGTAAACCTTTGAGAGATTGACCCCAAAATCAAAGGGGTCCATTAATGATTTGTGTCTGAGGGCAAATCGGTTGTCGAGTTATTGGTTGGAAACTGTTTTGAAATACAAGGTCAATTTGACTTTGACCTTTGAGCCCTCAACCCAAAAATAAGAAGAGGTCATCTACTGCCCAAGACCTATGCTCCTATTGAAGTCTGAGGTCCAAGGGCCCATCGATTGTCTTATCATTAAGAAATTGTACTGACATACAATGTTAATGTGATCTTGACCTTTAGCTTTTGACCTCAAAAATTAATACAGGTTATGTACTGGCAAAGGTGCACCTATGAAGTTTGAGGGTCATGGGCCCATTGATTGTTGGGTCGAAAACGATTTGGCATATGAGGTCAATGTTAACTTTACCTTTGACCCTAAAATCAATTGGGGTCAAAAGACCAATGCACCTACATGTATGAAGTTTCATGGTAATGCACCAACCGTCTCAAATTATTGATAGGAAAACAATGTTTGAAGGACTGGCCAACATCATGCTGCAAAACAACATGACCCCTTTTCACTGCGGTGCAAGGGGGCATAAAATGTACTGACCAACCAACAAGCAAACTCCTAATAAAGTTGCTTCAGGGGCTTGCATGTATAACATTTTTAAGCAATGTCCGTGTTTCATCTATCAAAGAGCTGATAGGACTGGCATAACTTTCCAGTGATATTTCAAATCTAATAATTTTATTCCTTTCTGTTTCTGTCATTGGTTTAGTACACTTTTCATTATATATCTTGTATACTTTATCCGTCAATTCTTTGAAATTTGACTTCTTGTATAAAATTTCAAACTTTGGAAAGAGTTCATTCCTTTCATCAAAATAATTATTAAAATTTAAGGCATACCATACATTCAAAATAGTTGAAACATTTAAGGTAGTTTTGTCTCGATCGTACTTGAAGATATCCAAATCAGCAGACATAATCAAGCTATCCAATCCACAGTTATACATAGTAATTCTTATAACTTCAGATGTGGCAATAAATGAGGGTATGAAAGAATTGGCCAACTTTCGCTCTTTGTTCACTTCAGTAAATGCATTAACAATTGTTTGCGCCAATACCTGCGACGTTGCATGACAACCAATAGTTTCCACAACACTGTCAGAGACATGACTTTCATCTGAAAATGTGTTTTCAGTTTCATCATCTCTCAAGCTCTCAGTTCTTCTCATTTTCTTGCGCACTGGTTCACCACTACCATTATCGTCTTCTGCTCCTATCTTGACTACACTTCCATTCACAAGTATGTCAGCATTCCCGTGCCAAACATCTCCATTACCTGGAAAACAATAAAACGATAAGAAACATAATTCATGTAACTCTTTTATAGGTCCACAAGGTAGACCTGTCATCAATTTAGTGCAAAGCTTCCTGATGATATATTGATATCGGATGACAAATATCTACGATACACAGATAATTATAATTGAACAATTTTTAAAGAGCTTCATGCCAGGAACATTCCTACTCAATTTTAACAATTTTGGCCTATTGGTATAGGAGATATTGTTTTAATCCATTAACAATGCATGGCGGATGCAGAGTGATCTCAAAAGCTCACCCTTGAGCTATTTGTGCTCAGGTGAGCTAAAAGCTTTTAGGGGAAAAAAATAAAATCATTTCTTGGTCATAATGGACCATTAATATAAATAACATGTATCTAGCTACAGAAATGAAAATTTCGACTTTTTTAGTGGCTTCAGGAAATATAACTAATATTATACTAACCACTAATTACTTTACTGGTTGCTGAAATATTAAAGTGTACATTCAAGAAGTTGCACATTTAAAAAAACTTTAACCAAACTGTAATGCAGACACTGACACACAGGTGAGTAGGATAGCACTATCATTATTCTTCCAATAGTCAAGCTATAAACAAAGAATAGTTTCTCCTATATAATATTCTGCAATTTCTCCTGCTGAGAGTTAGCGACCACCTTTCACTCAAATTGGAGTGATATTTTTGTTATTTAATGATATTATATTTTATGAAATATACTAAATGTTTACTGGCAAATTTTTAGCAAGAATTACCATGTTATCTATAAGGATAATATGTTCTTAATGATAAGTAAAAAGAAAGGTAAATTACCAAGTGATGTATTCTTTAGTTTGTCACTGATATCTTTGCCACATTTAGGACATTTTCTTGCTTCCTTTGGGAAACCTTCGCATCCAATCTCGTAACCACCAGCCAATGGTCCAAAAAGATGCGCAGCAAGAATAACTTGAATGTTATGTTCACTGTAATCCTTATTTCCAATCAAAGACAGCAGGCACTCCTCATGCTGCTCTGAAAAATAAATTACAAATGCATCTTAGACTAAATTAGGAGTGGATTTAAGGTAATTATTATTGCATAGCTTAAAATCCCATGTGGCAAATTGACTCTTGTGCAGATTTTATCACGTGTCAAATTTGTGCATTTCCCATTTATCACGAGTCATAACCCGGATCCCCGTGTCAATCGAGAGTCCTGACTGTTCACTATTTCAGGGAGAAGATGTGTAAGCGGCCGGATAGCTCAGTCAGTAAAGCTGCGGTACTCAGTATTGACATGACATTAAAATATCATCGTTTCGTTTGATATCTGGTTAATAAGTTTTACTTGCTACAAGTTTTAAGTTTAGCAGGCACGCGTGATATTTTAACTGGCTAGGAAGTTGCCCATCTCTGTTATCTATGTCTCTGCATATAATTATTCAATATGGAAGAATTTGAAAACAATATTTGTCTTTTCTAGAACTGCACTTTGAAAGGTAAACATTGCATATTGTACTCGTGTTTCTTGGTGCAGGTATAAGAACACAAACATGCGTTTATATATTTTATTAAGCTAGTCACAACTCATTCATACAGAGCTACAAGTAAAATGGTTTCCTGCGGGGAACATTTTTAATGAGGCCCACATGGAAGATCGGGAAACTGAATATGTAAGCCTCGTTAAATAAAGTCGTTACTTACTTACTTTTACTTACTTACTTACTTACTTACTTACTTACTTACTTACTTACTTACTTACTTACTTACTTACTTACTTACTTACTTACTTACTTACTTACTTACTTACTTACTTACTTACTTACTTACTTACTTACTTACTTACTTACTTACTTACTTACTTACTTACTTACTTACTTACTTACTTACTTACTTACTTACTTACTTACTTACTTACTTACTTACTTACTTACTTACTTACTTACTTACTTACTTACTTACTTACTTACTTACTTACTTACTTACTTACTTACTAATGATATAAAGATATTTAATTTAACTATTTTCAACTTTGTTTGGGGGGGGGGGGTAAATAAACGTTTGTATCAGGAATATAGTTGACAATAATCGATCAATATAGAAGAAGGGTGACCGTTGATGACCGGAGAAGGTAGAACATAAAACAATTATTTCTTTTTAAGAAAATGATTAAATAGGCCTACTATTTTATGAATATTTCCGAGCAAAAAAAAATAAAGTAAACACACAAGTTTACGCAGAAAATATCTCTATTTATTATGGCAGATGCCACTACGAATATTTTAATTTTGTAGATTTTCAGTATAAACAATTTATTGTTTGTAACATTTTGAGATACATATTAAAGAAACATTGATAATTTTCAAACACATCATTCAAGTTTTTCCACCTTAAACGGTAACATAATTATAGAAAATTAAAAATATCACGTAATAGTTTTTTGTTCTTAATTAGGTGTAATTCTGACTTATTCCCTAGAGGTAAATCCGTAACATACCGGCAAACGGTATTTAGCCAGGTGTTCGAAAAGGTCATTTAACCAATCATGTACGGTTTACAGATCACATGCTCCTCCATGTACCGAAAACAGGTCACGTGCTCCTCCATGCCTCAAAAGTTAAACGCGTACCAATACCCTGCGGTCTCCAGACCGCAGGGAATAATACATAGAGCAGAGTACGTATATTTAATAAGCATGCGCAGTTAACATTATAACTAAAGCATCATGGGAAGGTCTGTACTTAATGTATGTAAATCAAATACTGTTACAACTCGCCAGACTGATTTTTTCTCAATTTGCCGCCATAAAACTTTTGTAGGGAAAAAAGCTTGACAAGATCAATCATCTGCATGGATCAGGTTTAAATCAAAGAACAAAAGATATCAAAAAATACCATAGTCCCACAGTGCTCCTTGTCCCAGCTAGAATACCCCAGTCTCCCATACACCACAAATCCAGCACATAGCAGTCTTATTACCAGATTTCTCCAAGCTTCAATGAGTCTTGAAATTATGTTAACTTCGTTGTACTAAGCAAGTCTAAAATGAAATATTATTGCTGTATGTTCAAGATCAGGGTATGTGACAAATATGCTTTGGATGCATGTAACATAAAAAATGAAATGCCATAAAAATGGCCAAAACGGTAACATTGAAAATGATGAAGTCTTGATTTGAATGACCTTGTTCATGGACGGTTCTGGTAAGTGCAATCTTTTGTCCACAAACCCTAGCACCGGCTTATAAGCAGTATCTTTAATAATACTACCATATTATGCATAAACTAAGATCCACAGGCACAAGTATCGGACCTGGGAAGAAAAATATGACCAATAATGTATTTAGTAATATTATTTAGTAAATTCAAGTGATTATGACCCGTACTCAGTTGACATACATGTATTAGTCTATGTTTACGTACCGAATTGTTGTGCCGCAATTCTGTCTACCAAGGATTTTTAGCACGAATTCGCTCGTTTCCTGATAGATATTTCATGAACGGGAAGGGCTAGAGACTTGGGGTTGGTCTCATTTTGAAGCTTAATATAAACGTGAAATAGTGATAAAAGTTTTATATATTTAATTCTCTGGCCAATTGTTTTCACAACGGCCCGGGAAATGAATCCCATGCTCGTAGGCTCGAATCTGGAGTTTCCGGCCTTCTCTTAACTTATATAGTATATTTTTAAAGGGGGTCATTATTTACATTTTTTTTTTTGACACTTTTAAGATGAACACAGTTTTTTTTTATCAATCTGGTCATATTTTTCTTCCCAGGTCCGATACTTGTGCCTGTGCTAAGATGTATATTGTGAACATCATTTAGTGGTGTTCGAACTATTAGTAACTGCCGGTTTCATTTTTGCTAAAAGAGTCCAAATTGCATTTAAAAACCCCACAAAAACTGATTTGATATTAATCGCAAAAAAATATTGCATAAATCTATTTTGAAGCCATTAAAAATGACGTATTTATATTTAGCGGCTTTCTACCTTGATTTTCTTCGGAACTGCTTTGTTTTGATTAGCGGCAACATGGCGGACTTGTACGAACCTGATGTGGGAACAGCTTATTATCGTTCTGCAGACCCTGTTAAAAACCTTAGATTGAGGTAAACTATAAGGAAAAGACTGAATAATAATATTGATATCCATCTTGACTAGAGCATTTATACTATCACTGAACATATTTGTCAAATAAAAAGTGTTTGTAATTTTGCCTGTATAAAAGGCGATGGGTGGGGTAATTGTTAACATTATCTCAGCATAGCTATTTCATTCTTGATTTGCGTAATAGATAGTAAAGACTGACTTCCTGAAGATAATAATTAATATTAATTCTCTTTGTTCTGATTTCAATATTAATTATTATACAAAGTGTTACAGTGTATCACAGAAGAAATTAATGCAAGCCCTAAATAAATGTGCTAAAAGTAACATTAAACCACTCAAAAAATTACTTTCTCACTTTATTTCATACAATACTAGCCCAATAATAACAGTTTTTGACACCTTGTGAAATCAAGTGTCATGCCAAAGAGGATTCAAGAAGGGTAGATTATAACAACAAATTTAAAATCTAGGTAGGTGTTGACTTTAATATCAGTGGTCTCAATAGAAGGGACAAAAAAAGAATAAAACAAAGAATTACGAGTGAATCTGGTGGTCTTAAAAGGTGTTCAGCGGGGTGGTCTTAATTCTGAATCATGTAACCATTAATCTTTAATAAAGAACAGAAAATTCTGTTCCCTTAAAAAATGGTCTGAAAAACTGGTGGTCTTAATTCCGGGTATGTCTTAAGTAGGGATTCTAATGTTTTTACTTTTGTATAAGAACAGTGATTAAGATCTACAGAGTGTCTACTCTTAGGTTTACTACATTTTTATTTGTTTGGGTCATCAGACAAAACAAATAATGGTAGCAAAATTTCAGACCCTGATGCTGTTAATTGCAAATGCCGAAAGTAGTCTGATTTTTTGAAGCGGTTACTTCCCTTTATATGTACACTAACGCTGAAAAATTCGGAGGAGATCACTGCGTAAAGATGGTCAAATGACAGGCGCATTAATTTTCAAGCAAAATAGTTCCCGAATGTTCGAAGATTTCTAATATTGTTTTATTCTTTATAGATATACATGCACATAGCAAGCTCCATGATTATTTACATCTGCGTTAAACAACAGTTAGCGTCGAAATAATAAAGGTTACAAACCCTAATTTAGAATAATATGGTTTTCTTCATGCCGTTATCATATAACTTCACCGTGGCCGAGGGGTTTGCGCGCTCGCTTAGGAAGCGAGAGGTCTGGGGTTCAAATCCCAGGCAACTCATTTTTTTTTCAAATTGTTTAAGTCAAATAAACATTGAATTGAATATCAGTGTTCAACTGTTGCAATTAGTCTTATAGCCAATTTACTACAATTAAAACGCTGGAAAGCATTGGTGGCGCTATACAAAAACAAATTGGTTTATAATCTCACAACCTTCACCTTTCTGACATTCTGAGACCCAAACAAATTCAGCGCCTTCTGTGCTTTGATTTTCTACGACTGGCATGAGTATAAAAGCATACAGAGTAGATGTAGTTAATCTGAGAGTTCAGAGGTCATAGATTTATACATGTATTAATTAATGAATATCACAATAAGTATAAAGGTTATTATTGTTAAAGATGTGGTTATTGGTTTATCAAATTCATTTAGCAATCAAAGATACACCGTAATGAAGATATCTGTTTTGGATGCTGATAATGATTCTTTCAACCTTACGGATTTTGACAATAAAAAGTGATAGATCTGTGACAGGTCAGGCAAAGATTTCTAGGCTCACATCAAAGATATCTGACATCAAAGATATTATGAGTTGATGAATGGAGACATCTTATATGGTAACAGAGAACTATAGATATTTATTATGTTATATTTCAGTGTGAAGTTAGATCGTATTACTTCATCAAGTCTGATACCAAAAGTTCCCGGTGCGCCGGCAGAACGACGTCCATCATCTGAAGATGTTGAACTTAAAGATCTTACAAAACAAGGCATGAAGGACAAGGAAGAGATTGTCATTAGTTGGCAACAGAAAATATTTAGCCAGGTGAGTTAATCTTTGTTGGCATAGAATCCTAATGAGATTGAATAGAAGTACAGTCTGCCAGACTGTTCATTTATGTAGGTTAACATATTAGCTCTAAACTATGTCTAGTGACAGGGGATCATTTATCATTGCTGTTAAAACTCTAATGATTAATTACAGGGATTGTTTGGGGCTTATTTTATAGCCGATATTCAGTCATATTCCCAATTGAAAATAGTATATTATTTTCCCAATCCACAGGAAAAAATTCCCAATTAAAAGTTACAAAAGAAAAATATTGAATTACATTTTCTAAAATTTTTGAAAATAAGGGCTTCTTCACTGTTATGGTGCTTAAATGTTTGAAGATGCCATCCTAGACAGTGATTCTTTGCATTCATTTAATCACTGCAAAATTAAGTCATGTGTTTTTTCCCAATTTTTAACAAAACATCACTGAAATTCGGAATTCCATGGGTATGGATCATGTTCCCAAAATCCTGGGAAAAAAACCCTAAATTACTGCAATGTTTAGTCTAGTTAGGACAAATTGTAATAGAAAAAAGGCTTTTTGATTTGTCCAGCAAGTTTTTGTAATTTTTGATATCAAATTAGATGCATTAGACAAAAGATTGTCCCCTTAGTGCAGTAATTTGTTAACTCCTTATATAGTTTAATAGGAGTTAACCAGTTACTGCACTAAGATTACAAATCTTACGTTAATATTTTTACGTAATTGAATTTGATTAACATTTATGACAAAAACTTCAGTCAGATAAAATCATGTTTTATATATTTAGGTGTAGAACCACTGTCATATTTAGATGAGACACTGAGACAGCAAACAATGATTTATGTGTGTATGAACAGTTTATCATAAATTTTTTATCATACTTTATTATATTCATATATATGCATATATTTCAGAGGGAAATAGAACTGTACAATTCAGATGACCCAAATTTTTCACCAATAGAAAAGAAATACCATAATGAAGTGAAGGCACTTCTGTAAGTATTGTGTATAAATATTTCCTACAGTAATTAAAAATGCAGTCTTATGTAATATTTCATAGAATAAGAATTCTGTTTCTGTATTGAAGCATAAAGCAAAGTAGATAAGCTACTACATAAAACTGCCAGGTTAGCTTAAAGAATATTAGACTGAATTGGGCAGGCAAGGTTCAATCCCTGGACTGTGTAGGTAACTTTCGTTGTGATTGATCATGAAGGTTTTCCTACAGTCATTTGCTTCATACCTCTGCTATGACATATACAGAAGTTACAGAAGTAACTTGCAGTTCCTTCCAAAAGTAAAGGCATCAAGTACAGGTAAACTTCTCGACAGCCTGCCCAGGAATGATGCCGTGGCTGAACTGTGCTCTGGTAAATTTAAAGTGGCTTAATGCAGTAATCCAGAAGGTCATTTAGGATAACAACCACCAATACATGATGCATGATCCATAATGTTGTATAATTTAGTACTTTTTGGTGCCATATTGGAATCATCAGTAGATATTGCTGTTGATAATGAATGACCAGTTTTGATGTAGATTTTATATACTATAATATTGATAGACATGGAAAATTGTCTCTTCCCTTACTCTTTTTTTTTCAGAATACTTAATACATAATAATACATAATTGTACTGCAATTTAATGTTGGTTACTATTCTGACATAGAAATAGAAAGAAAATAGGTGAAAATAAATGTATATTGAATAACGTTGAGCAGAGAAGTAATTTTCATGATGTCATTTGATTTATTGACATCACATCTGGCATTGTTTGACATGTAAACATTCCTTTTTTTGTGCATTAGTTTATGTATGTTTCAGGGACAAAGGTAAACCTGCCAACAGGATATTTACGTATGTAGATCATGACAGATTCTCTCAGGAGGATGAGGTATGTTTAAAACATGAAGCCAGTGTGGCTTAGTCCTTAATTTATCTTACTTTCCACTCACCTTTGTAAAGTTTAAATCATGCCAGACATCAGAGTGGTTTATAAACTATTTATTTTAGATCTACCTGTTTTGATCTTTCTCAGACTTTCATAAGAAAATTTCTGTAAAAACTATAAAGGGAAAATTCCTTGGAATCTGTAATAAAAATTTAAGTAATTCATTCTCTTCTTTAGTTCTGTCATAGAGAATTTTGAAATAACTTATAATTGTTTAAAGATATACTATTCTAAACTTTGTTATTAGAAAATATTGTTAATTGCTTCACAGAGAGTCTCTTTGTAAATATAAAATAAACATGTTTTGACTTTACACAAAGTAGATATGTTTTGTTTTAAACTCTACACACTATAAGTGGTTACAATACGAATATATTGTGTCATTAAAAAAATAGGCTGTTTTTTAAGAAAAGACCAATTTTACTTAATCTTTAATAGGGAAAGAAGCTTCTTTTATTCAAATTAGACATATTCAGGAAGAATTATGAAGATTACAATAAATTTATGTGATAAGAATATTTTACTCAAGGATGAGCATAGTATATTTTTAAGATTGCTAAATTCGAAATCTGCTTTCATTTATGATATTGTGACAGTCATTTAAATCTACAATACATGTATCTTTTATGACATTACAAATCTATTGTAGGCAACAGAGTATCTCACTACATCACCTAAGGAACAGCCTACATTCTTATCTGAGAAAATGTCTCATATACGTAGGAGGCGTGTTGGAATGGCCAAACAGAGGAAAGAGAGGTATGATGTTAAAATGATTGTGTTCTGTATAACAGAATTGTGGTTGGATTTGGGTTTAATAAAATGAAAATGTTTTGGTGACTATAGGACATTCTTTTCCAGAAAAGATACATTGGAATAATTAGAAGCATTCTGGTAATTCATTGGAATAATTGTTAGTATTATGGTAATAAAAGGGCTTTTACAAGTGTTATTCAGGTAAATAATGTAGCACATTGTATATCTGTTGTTTTAACATACAACTTGTAGTAGGTACCGGTAGTACATGTATTTTTGGTGTAAAGCTGTCTTGAGACACTTTTTTTGTCAGTTATGGTTTAAAAATAGCACAGAGAAGACACTTCTTTAACTCATGTTTTTTAATAATTTTTCTCAGATTTTTATCCATAGACTTGTAATTTGATGTTTTCCATCTTTGTGAGCTTTTGTGACCACCTGACGGCCATTTTCTGTTGTCATATGTGAATTATGCATGTGCTTCAGCTATTTCTTGCCTCTATTTTAATCTTTTTATTTTTGATTTGATCTGAATCAAATCTTTGAAGAACTTTATATCACCAATAAATCTTGGTTTCATTCTGATTCTATAATGTGTTTCAGAGTTATGGCCCTAAAAGCAATAAATACTTAATAGTCAGTTTTATTTTGCATGTAAGCACCAATGTGTGCAATGTAATTTCGATTTTATTTTTACCAAACCTGTACACTTGTATCGCCAATAGATATTGCTTCCAGTCGTAAAGTGCATATAATATTACGACGTTAAAATAGCAAAGTAATATTTTGTTCTGGAACATCTTATTTTTGCTCTGCCAAGTTTCCGCTAAACAGTTACCCAAAACTAGATATTCCTGTCTGTGACGACAGCCGGTGGTTGATTCTTTTTCTTGCATATTAAATATCAATCATTTTCAGAAAGAAATTATGAACACTGATAATTTAATTGAGCAGATTTTTCTTAGAGTAGCTTATGAATTTACAACTAAATTTACAACAGCAAAATGAGGTACATGTAATTCTAAGCACGCAATTCAATCATAAAAGGCAGGCAGGAATGACATCATATTAAAGCACACAGTTTGTCTTACACGAAGGGTGTAATACTGGTTTTTCTAGCACTTGTGTAAACAGTAGATACCATAATCCTGTCTGATATGCAAGGATACATTAGATTTAGTCAAATACCCTTTAAGTTGTTTTACCATTCAAATATTAGATAAATATCAAGTGAATTGTCCTCTCTTGTTATTAACTTATTTTATAGATCCATTGAGTTACTTTTATGTATTTGTCTTATGTATTTATTCAAGGATAGCGATTCCTTTTTTAGCTCACCTGTCACAAAGTGACAGGGTGAGCTTTTGTGATCGCTTTTCGTCCGTCCGTCGTCCAACCGTCCGTAAACTTTTGCTTTAAATGACATCTCCTCATAAACCACTGAGCCAATTTCATCCAAACTTCACAGGAATGTTCCTTTGGTGGTCACCTTTAAAAATTGTTCAAAGAATTTAATTCCATGCAGAACTCTGGTTGCCATGGCAACCGAAAGAAAAATCTTTAAATATCTTCTTTTAAAGAACTGTAAGAGCTAGAGCTTAGATATTTGGCATGAAACATCTTCTAAAGAGTGTCTACCAAGTTTGTTCAAATAAAAGCCCTGGGGTCAAAATTGGCCCCGCCCAGGGGGGTCATTGATTTTCCCTATATGCATATAGTAAAAACTTAAAAAAAATCTTCTTTTAAAGAACTGTAAGAGCTAGAGCTAAGATATTTAGCATGAAACATCTTCTAGTGAGTGTCTACCAAGTTTGTTCAAATAAAAGTCCTGGGGTCAAAATTGGCCCCGCCCTGGGGGGTCATTGATTTTCCCTATATGCATATAGTAAAAACTTAAAAAATCTTCTTTTAAAGAACCGTAAGAGCTAGAGCTTAGAGTTTTGGCATGAAACATCTTCTTGTGAATGTCTACCAAGTTTGTTCAAATAAAAGCCCTGGGGTCAAAATTGGCCCCGCCCCAGGGGGTCATTGATTTTCCCTATATGCATATAGTAAAAACTTAAAAAATCTTCTTTTAAAGAACCCAAAGAGCTAGAGCTAAGATATTTAGAATGAAACATGTTCTAATGGGTGTCTACCAAGTATGTTCAAATAAAAGCCCTGGGGTCAAAACTGGCCCCGCCCCGGGGGTCATTGATTTTCCTTATATGTGTATAGCAAAAACTTAAAAATCTTCTTTGAAAAAACCCAAATAGCTTTAGTTTAGATATTAAGCATGAAACATCTATAAGTAAATATCTACAAATTAAAGCCCGGGGGTCAAAACTAGCTCTGCCCCAGGGGTGTCATTGTTTTTAACTATATGTGTATAGTAAATACTTAAAAAATCTTCTTTAAAAAAACCCAATGAGCTAGAACTTAGATGTTTAGCATGAAACATCTTCTTATGGGTGTCTACCAAGTCTGTTCAAATAAACAAATAAAAGCCCTTGGGTAAAAATTGGCCCCGGGGGGGGGGGGGGGGGGCTATATACAGGTGAGCGACCTCAGGGCCATCATGGCCCTCTTGTTCAATTTTCAAAACAACTCTGTGGCTTTCTAAATTTACTCATATACCCACGCAATTGATAAATTTTATATTTTCAATTCAATTCAACATGCATGGTACATTTCAGAGGCTATCTATAGGGCCAGCTTTCTGCCTTTCAGTCAATTAAATTTATCAGCTGGCTGGTATAAGTCAAGTGCTGTCATGGTTCTGGTGAAGAATGTGTACAGGAAATTTCAGGGGAAAATATAGCATTTTTTTTTTGGGGGGGGGGGGGGGATGTTTATTTCAGGCCAGGGAAACAACCTTTATTTTGCTGTAAAATATTGGGAAAGAGTCACTGTAGGACATATACATTTGTATTTGTATGAATCTTAAAGGATGATATCTTTATTTTATTATTTGTTGTAACTTTGTTGTTTCAGATCATACAGGTAATTTATTTGCTTTAGAAATTTTGTTCATGTTAGTTTAATTATTAATTGACATTTTATAATGAATTTTGATTTAGTTTTATTTTTCACCATTGATCATCACAGACTTTGTGCTCACACTATTATATCTATATGTTATATTAAATGATCACTATTGCACATGTAAATTAAATTTCACACTTTAGTATACAGTCTTGAAATCTAAAAATTGGCCTGTATATACTTTTAATTTAGAATATAAAATTATATAATAAATGATATAAAAAATTATATTAAATTATATTAAAATAATATAGAAGAATCAAATTTGTAAGCTATGTGATAATTATTATGCTAAAAAAGTAAAAAAAATACAAGTAGTTATAAATAGATCATACAAAAACTAAGATACTTTCTCCCGAGATATATCAAATAGATTTACTTGATAGCGATTACTTTGATATGTAACATCTTTTGTTCTACTCAGGTGCTAGCCCATACCTGAAATAATGTAAGGAGGGGCGACTGAGGTCTTCCTCCACCAGTTAAGCTGGAAAGTTGCCATATGACCTTCACAGTTTTGATGTGGTTTAAAACCCAACCTATCATTCAAACAGAAGGCATTAAATTCTGATAAGACTTATAAAGTATTTTTGTTTTTTGGTTTGTTTTAAATAACAGCAGTTATTTTGATTAATACAATGTTTTCAAGTTTGAAAAAAGTGTGTACATTCTGTAAAATTTTTGCCATGCATTTTGTTTTCTTTTAACATTTAAATATTGGTTGCTATATTTATTTGTTAAAATTTGTAGATTGTGATTCTTATGTTTTGCAATTGTTGATTTTTTCCTTTTTAGCTCGACTTTTCTATGAAAAGGGGAGCTATCCTACTCGCCCCGGCGTCGGCGTCGGCGTTGGCGTCACACCTTGGTTAAGTTTTTCGTACCACCCCACTTTATTTCAGAAGTATTACAAGTATGGCTTTGAAACTTACCATACTTGTTCACCATCATAACCTCCATCTACAGACAAGAGTACATAACTCTGTCAAGGTTTTTGACAGAATTATGGCCCTTTTTTGACTTAGAAAGTGTATTGAGCTTGGTTAAGTTTTTTGTACCACCTCACTTTATTTCAAAACCATTGGAGGTATTGCTTTGAAACTGACCATACTTGTTTACCATCACGACCTTCATCAACAGACAAGAGGACATAACTCTTTCAAGGTTTTTGACAGAATTATGCCCCTTTTTGACTTAGAAAATACATTGAATATGGGTAAAATCCACTTATTGCCTTAACCCTTTGAGATATTGCTTTGAAACTTTTAATGCTATTTCACATCATTACCCCCATCTGTACGCAAGAGAAGAGAAGGTAACTCTGTCAAGGATTTGTTTTAAAAATTAAGGCCTTTTATCGACTTAGAATCTTGGTTAAGTTTTTAGTACCAGTCCACTTTTTGACTGAACTGTTTGAGATATTAATTTGAAAGTTGGAATACTTGTTTACAATCATGATTCCCAAACATGTCCAGGAGAAGGTAATTCTGTCAAAGATTTTATTTGAATTATGGCCCTTAACTGTCAATGTTTTGTATTATAGGCAAGCACTAAAAAACTTAAAAAATCTAAAAAAATTCATTCCTATCCACTTGTTCACTTTACCATAAATTATGTCATATAAACATTGCTGTAATATTCAATTCAGTAAAATAATTCTTCACTAAATATCTTAATGCTCATGGCCATTGTTCACTTTAAAAATACAGAGATTCTTGTATTGCCTTTTACTGCAAAAACATTTTTTATTGGCAAGCAATAAAAAAGTCGAGCGCGCTGTCTTACGGACAGCTCTTGTTAAAGTTAAAAGTAATGTGATATTAAACTATGTGTGAGTTAAAAAATTGAGAGATTATTAAAAAACAATGATTTAATTAGAAAAATTGATTTAACATGAAAGATGATAGATACTATACTATAGTTTCAGGCTATACTTTTGAATTACAGGCCATATAATGTAGTAACTAGTAAGACATGTTAACCTACACTGTAAAAAGGTTGTCAGACTGGAACATTTTTGTTATAATTATTTCTTGAAACTTGCTTTTAATTACATGTGTATACTGTATATGTAGGTATACTGCTCGACAAAATTGAAGAAAAAAAATTGAGACAAAAATGAGATGTCTTGTTGCTGGATATAACAGCTTTTCATGTTTTGATATAGTGATGATAGAAGACTTATTTGTTAGAAATTTTATCAGCTCTTCTATAAACATTTGAGAGATAACTCTAAAAATGGCTGCTAAGGGAGATTATTCATGATATGTTATAAATTATAATGTTTGTAAGAAGACTACTAACAGGGAGGTATTGTATATATTTGCAGGGATCATACATTTGTACCCAAGTTAAATGTTATAGAAGATGATCCTACAGAAGAGCTTATTACCAGGAATCATCTGATGGCTTCACCTGTACAAATAATGCATATCATGGCAGATCTCAGTCCTAGAGACAGGTAAAATTTATTGTTTAAATTGACTCACATACAAAAATATACATCCACATCCATATATACAGATTTTATGATTGTATATAAGACTCTTTAAATTAAAAAAAGTGCAAGTTTATTTTACTTTTGCAAGTTAGAAAATGTTTTTGCTGTGAAAAAGTTGTCAGTACCAAAAGATCACGGGCATTGAGTCTAATGGACATTTTTGTCTCTCGCCACTGATTCAGAAATGATGTAGGATTAGTAGTTGGCCACTTGCAGAGAAATTGGTAATTACTGGTTAGTTATCCAGTAAAAGCTGGTTAGTTGGACAACCTGCAGAGTAAGAAAAAAATGCGTCAAATCAGCTTTTAATCCAAACAAACAAACAAAAAGAGGTAAAATTCAAGTCCCAATGATTGCACTATTTAATAACAGGCAGTGGGAATGAGTTGTCAGGCAGTGAGAATAAGTTGTCATGCAGTGAGAATGTGTTGTTTCTAACGCATGTTTATGTTATGTATTTCAGGTTAGCAACAGATGAGGAAGAGGTGGTTTTATGTACAATACAGATAGATGCTAACGGTGTCCTCTCAATACATCCAGACTTTAACAGAGGTCGAAGGGCTTACGTTAAAGAAACCCAGAAAGAATTTGGGAAAGGTGAATTATACATTTATAGTGTGAATTCTTACTTGAGATAAAATGTTCGATCCGTGTTAACTATTTGTTCACTAGTATGAAAAATACTTCACATATTTGGTGTGTAAAAGTATTTTTGAACCCCTTGGTCCTGACAATGTTACTGTGGGATTTATTCATATAGAATTTAAGTTTGATTGTATAAGAAACATTAAGCTTATAGACCCATCCTGGAATTTGTTCCTGGAACCAACTAATATTAAGCAATGCAACTCATAGAAACAAGGCCTTGCATCTGATTGAATTTATAGCCAGCAGTCCTTGTATACCCAGTCTGACATGTAAACCACTCTTCCACACCGCTCTGTCACATCGCCTCTGCAACTTTGGATTTGATAACTGCCAGGGCAGTTAAAGTCTAACATGTGAGTAATCTATGCAATTTGGAGCTTTTGTTAAAATCATGAATATACTAAAAATTAGAAAAAATATGTTTTTTTATTCTTCATACATTGTTAATTTTCAGATGTGTTTGAGTATACAATAGAACATGCATCAAAAGAGATGAATAGACAGGAACAAGATAGGGAGATGAAGATGTATAGAGAAGTTTATACCAGACATAAAGATTTTCTACAGGCCTGTGTCGGTACAGAATTTGAGCTGGTATGTTCTGCTACTTTATTATCAATGACCTTATTAAACCACTTGAAAATGATAATCTGTAGCTTACTTCAAGAACACAAGAAAGGAATTTGATTATTTTTTAAATTTTCATATAATTGTACTTTCATTTATTGATATATCATTTCAAATATATTGCTATCTTTGCTTGCAAAACGCCAGGTATATCCCCTTTCAGTATTTTGTCATAACACCATGGAGTACATGACTTTGCCAATACTTTGTACTTGATATCATTTGGAGAAAGCATACATGTGTGTGTCTTAAAAACACAACTTTTAATACCTATATTATACGACATTTCATTACAAAATAAACTTGATATATTTCAGCCACCAGCAGATGTTCTCAGATTACTGGTTTATGGAGAAATAGGTGAGTGATTTAATGTGCTCATAAAGTATAACTATAAAGAAAGGGCCTTCCTTACTGAGTGGTTCAGGTCGATCTATGCAGATGCCCACCCGTGCCTGAAATAATCCCTGGAGAAGTAACTGAGATCTTCCTCCGCCAAGAAAACTGGAAAGTTGCCATAATTATGTCCTTTCCAGTTTTGGTTAAAACTCATCCAAAACAAATCAAGCAGATAGCTCAATGTTGTACATTAAATTGATTTACTTGTTTTTTGTTGTTTAATGAATTCCAAATATAACCTTTATAACTTGTATATGATATAAATACTCCTTAGATAATGAGTAACCTCAATAGCTAAGGCATTTGATCTATAGACTTCAACTTTTGTTTAATGAAGTTCAACTTAATATTTGTTTATCATTGCATAAATACTCCTCATTTAAAGGAAAATTATGCTTAACATTTAATGCTGCTTCATTGTCCTCTCATTTTAGAGTCTGCAAAAGATTTTGAATATGACGATCTGTATCTTCATTTCTTTGTTGATCTTCCTAAATGTGAGTATTTAAATTAACTTTAACTGTTACCAAGTCTGAATTTATTAATGGATCTGAGTTGTGACTTTTTATGTGCTTTCAATAACAACGTTCTCACAAATATTTTCATATTGTTTTGTTTGTGGTGAAAATATTACTATTATTTCATAGTAATGTAAATTCATTAATCTAGTGTCCATCTGTTGACATATTTCATAGTTAAACACAACTTGCTTGTATGTTATTTGATGTTTACATGTATGTTACACCTACATTTAAATTGTTAGATATATAGTGGTATGGTAAACCCAACACTTAAGACGAAGCCATCAAGTTCGTTATTGTATGAAATTATCCAAAAAATAGATTAGACATGTACTCTGCTATAATGTTACAGTTATTGTGTTATATTTATATACAGATTGGTCAGTTGAGAGACATCAACAGTTGTCATGGGTTACACAGACCTGTGCTACCAAAGTTCATGGAAGGGTAAGCATATGATTGATATCTTTCACCGTAAGTTTAAAGGAACTACTCTGAGGTATTTTGACATGATGAGACTGGAAATATTTTTTTCCAAAATTTGTGTATTTGATGTAGGTCTGAATTAGTAACATGTGCAAATTTTAGGATCGCTCTTACACCCTATTTATCAAAAATAATCTTTTTATTGTGCAAAATGACCCAATAATAAAAGCATTGCACCGATTTTCACAAAAATCCACTAAGAATAAATATTGATTTTCTATTTAGTTAAGAGTAGAATCTATATTTCTTTATTATTGTTGGCAGATTTTTCCATTGTAAGTGTAACATATGATCTATTTTTATTTTTAAGCTTTTTGACTTCTGTGTAGCGCCTTTAAGTTAACAAATTTACAAACTTAATTCAAAGGATTGATTAAATTCTATGACTATTGCAAGTTAAAACTGAGCTCAAGCAAATTATCAGTAAAGATATATCAATATGAATATATTTAAATATTGTTTATTGTATAATTACAGGATGATGTGGCTTATTTTAGTTTCCCCTTCCATTTTGAACTGTTCTATAGAAATGATAATTTAGTGGAGGAAGAGAAAGGTTAGTTTATTATGTCAGCTGTCTTGTTCTAATATTTTAAGACAAGATATTAGCAATAGATAGCCTGTAGGTTCAATATTGAATTCATTGAGTGAGTTGAAAAAAAAATTATTATGCGAGCCTCTGGCGATCAAAATACTTTTTTTCTCAACAACTTCATATATATTAATTCAATATCCTATTTATCATCTATCCCAAATAAGATCTATAAACAGTTAAAAACTATCATTTCTTCATTGGCAGCTTATAGTCTAATGCTTATATTTAGCACATCTTTACACTATGTTTATATAGTGCAAATGTCATCACATCGAAATATATACACATGTAGCTGTGTAATAACATTTTTAAAAGTTGTAAAAGCAGCATGTGTATGTGATAAATAATGCATAACTTTAATATATAATTAATACCGCAATTGCAAATATTTAAAATGATTTATTTTTTTATACATGTATGTATATACATGTATATTTTTTAATAAAGTTCATCAACATCTTGACACTGTCATTGTAATTAATTAATAAATACATGACTCTATATGAATATATCTTGTAGTGTGATATTTTGTGTTTGATTATGGTACTAGTGAACAGATTATAATTTCAGAGTTAGAGTTACCACATTTTCCAACTATAATGATAGAAGTGTTATCATTAGATACGTGGAACAGATTCCGGACAGAAGGTTACACATATCTTACCATACCCGGACAACCAGGTTGTTACATCAACATTGTTTTATTGTTTGTAGATTTGTCAATATATTTGCTAAAGTTTATGTCAATGTACCATTAATTTGAATCTTATTTTAGTCTGTGATTAATATGCTGTATGTAACATGGTTTGCAGATTTCTTTTTCTTTTTTTTTATTAGATGAAATCTTTTCCATGATAGAAATGTGTTCAAACCTGTTACACAAGGTGAAATTCAAATTACAAATAAAAACTTAACATTGTGGTTCCCTATTTATAGAAATGAAAGCTTGTTTTACCTCAAATTTCATGGTGAAAAAAGTATGGATTATTTGTCAGGGAAATATAAGGAATACAAATTAAAGTTGTCCTGTCATTTATTCTCAGGTGAACATCAGGAAAGACTGTATAAAACGTAGTATTGGGGTTCACCTTATACAGAAATGAAAGCTTATTTTAGCCAAAAAAGACAAGTTGAAAAAATGTTTTAAATAAGTAAGGTAAACATAAGGAAGGTAAACATAAGGAATACAAAAATTAAAGTTATAACATCATTTATTATCCTCAGGTAAACATAAGGTATACAAATTAAAGTTATAGGATCATTTATTATCTTCAGGTAAACATAAGGTATACAAATTAAAGTTATAACATCATTTATTATCCTCAGGTAAACATAAGGAATATAAAAATTAAAGTTATAACATCATTTATTATCTTCAGGTAAACATAAGGTATACAAATTAAAGTTATAACATCATTTATTATCCTCAGGTAAACATAAGGAATACAAAAATTAAAGTTATAACATCATTTATTATCCTCAGGTAAACATAAGGTATACAAATTAAAGTTATAGGATCATTTATTATCTTCAGGTAAACATAAGGTATACAAATTAAAGTTATAACATCATTTATTATCCTCAGGTAAACATAAGGAATACAAAAATTAAAGTTATAACATCATTTATTATCTTCAGGTAAACATAAGGTATACAAATTAAAGTTATAGGATCATTTATTATCTTCAGGTAAACATAAGGTATACAAATTAAAGTTATAACATCATTTATTATCCTCAGGTAAACATAAGGAATATAAAAATTAAAGTTATAACATCATTTATTCTCAAGTAAACATAAGGAATACAAAAATTAAAGTTATAACATCATTTATTCCAGGTAAACATAAGGAGAGACTACATTGTTGGCGACCTACTGGTACAAGTATGACATCACAGCTACGCAGGTTTTTCATTGGTGGATCACCAGAGCTAGAGGATCCCACCTACTCAGCCATTCCTTCAACATTTACTGTATGTATCATGATATCTATTTCTTTAGTTAGGAAAAGATATTGGTTTTGAGTGTGTTTTTGTAGAATATTGCATGGTTTTATTTCATATGTGCAGGCCTGAGTGATTAATTACAAAGCATTTTAACGATAAACAATAACAATAACAATTTATTTTCATGAAGCTAAATGAGCAAACATTCTTTATGGAAACTCTTGAGAAACAAGAAATTTTCATGATATACTTTGCCAATTGTAACTCTTTAATATTTTCTATGTTCTCCCATTGATATGATGGATATAAGTTCTAACAAAATAGTCAGTAAAATATTAGAGTTAAAAGTTTACAAATTTGTTTATTACAGGGAACACACTTGAGTAAGTTTGGATTTAAGACAGAAACAACAGGAAGTGTGGATGTTAACCTAAATGTGATGATGCAGTCAAGGTATTTTATTGTTTATATTTTTACTTTATGAACTATGAGTTTTAATAGCAAGCAAAGATTATCAATGTTATTTTAGATGTACAGTTTTAAAGACTGTAAGGATTTCCTAATACATGTATATGGAAATGTGATAGACAAGTGTGACCAAATCATGTTGTCTAATTAGTGAAAGAAAATATGATTTATACCAAGCATTAATAGAGAATTGGTGGCCTAGTGGTCAAACTGTCTGCCTCTCAACCCAGATATCATGGGTTCTGGCCCAACTCTGGTCATGACCCATGTTTCCTCATAGGTCAGTTTCAGGAATCAAGAAGTTTAGGTCACTGACTTTGAATCATCGCGAGGTTAAATTCCAACTTGACAATTGAAATCTTTCTGGGAAAGTTCTTCCGGTTGGCTTGCAAAATGTCTACTTTAGTAATTGAAATTATATTTTGTTTAATTTATCAGCACCTATTCAAAAAATACTATCCCATAACATCAGCGTATCATCCTTGGCCTGTATAAGATTTACTACATAATGTTAACTATTAAGAAAGTTAGCATTAATTTCATTGATTCTGTTATGCTGGTGCACAGCATCAAACAGTCCTCATTTCATTTAATACTGACTTGACAAACACTAACCAGTACATTGTATTAAATGCCACCTTATGCCTGAAATGATGCACATGGAGGGTATTAAGGGTTTATTAGCTGGAAAATGTCCATGTAATTTTAACAGTCTTCTGTGACTTAAAAACCCAACCAATTAACAAACCAATTAAATTAAAAAAGAGATATATAATTGTATTTCAGGGCATTTAGAGAGAAGAAAGCCAGTAAACAGTCATTAAGTTCTCTACTGGAGGCATTAGGGTAAGTCTAAAAAATATATCGTCCATTCTTATGTTGCCATTTTAATTTTCCTTTTATTTAATTATACTTTTGAGTTTTGCTGATATTTGACTTGTAAAAACAAAGCTTAACGTGTATACTTGAAATTGATAAAGCATATACATCTAATTACACCTGTATACCTCCAGATTACTAACAGTTGTGAATATCAAACTTGAGAAAAAAAAGTGTTGTAGAAATGGATAAGTATTCACATTCCAGCTTATGCTTAGCATATTTATACCAAATATTATTGAATTTTATATTTCTGCCTTTACTTATTTCTACCATGTTGACCAAATAATAGCTCAGTAGGGATATGATCACCTTGTGCAAAGTTAAATTTCTCAGTGACATAGTTGATTTTATATAGAAGGTCTAATGGTCATTTGTCTCTCACACCTGATTAAAAAAACTTGTGGGACTATTGGTCAGTCACTAGTGGAGAAATTGATAATTACTGGCTAGTTATCAAGCCAACAAGGTGAATTGATTGCCAAAATATTACCAAAAAAGTATTAAAATTGGCATTAAAACCAAACAAACAAACAAATGTGCCATGTTCCGTATGGAGTTATGTCAGGGTTATGTTTTTGCATATATTGGAATATTAATTATGTTGATAGTAAATACCTTGAGCTACTAAATTTAATGATTTATTCTTCTAGTTTCTATTTTATTACTTTTTAAGGTATTTCTTCTAAATTTTTCAGAATAAATGCTGTACAACAGAACATCACAAATGTGTTAGGTAAGTTTGAGAAATCAAGTATTGTTAGGTTTTTACATTTATAATACGCTGATTTATCCTACAATGTTGTGGTTCTCATGTTGGCTGTTTGTCAGTCTATCCATCAAGAACTTCAAGCATTACTTGATAAATTATAATAATTAAACTTAATTGCATAATTAATTGTGACAACTTTTTTCATTTTTATGTTACCTTATTAAAAAAACTCTTGAATGTGATAGTGATGAGCAAAAAAAAAAACCGTATTTTTTTTAATTTATTTTTTTGCATTTTGTACTACGAGAGCAAATGTGCAGGGATTTAACCATGAGTATTTATATTTTTATATTTACAGATGCCTTCAAGAAGGCTCGGCAGCGTATGTTAAATGCTCGTGAAAGTGCAACAAAAGATTTGATAAAAACTTCATCACGAACAGCCACTGCTTGAAATAAGGTTCAAAATAAAGTATAAAAGAAAATATCCGTCCTTGTTAAGTTGTTAGATATAATAAGATTGTTATGATGAATGCTGAAGTGTCTTTTCAGTAAATGATATATAAAAACTAGATCAGTGTAAGATTATGATAGTGGTTACAGTAATGATGAAGTTAAATTCCGGCAGCCACAAACAAGATTGAGGCCTCAATGTGGTGTAACAGGATTCTGTTTAGCATTGATATTTTTCATAACTTGCTTTATAACACAAGATAATCCATGTTTGAATAACCAATAATAACCTATGCTGTCTGTATCATTTAGGAGATTGATATCAATTTTGAGTGCATTGTTGTTGAATAATGCATGGTTCAAGTTCAAATCTGCTGGAAGATAATCGTGAAGACAGATATGCTATGCACTTGATCACCCTATCTGTCTGATAGGCATGTTAGAATATTCATGATGGCTTAATCTCATTACAATGAAAGTAGTAAACTTGTTATTCTGTTAAGGTATTTTGAATTCTTTAGTTTGAGGAATTTATCTAAATAAACCACTTACTAGTCACTTACAGAAGTGCATGCTGACCTGGCTCATTACTGGTGGCAAAGGTTTCCAGTTATTTTGTTGCTTGCATTAAAAAGTCACATTTGTAAAGGTACCTATCTTGATTTTGAATACAATATCACTATTATTGTTAGTGAACTTAGTGGCCTTAGATAGAGATGTAAACTACATCAACAAGTTTTGTACATGTGTTAAAGTTGATCTAATGTAGATGAATCTCTTAATGTTTGTTTTTATGGATCATTTGTATAAAAGTGTAAATATAGATTATTTATAAACATATTATGACAGGCTTTTAATAATAAAAAGAAAAAATCCATAATTTAAATGTTTTTGTTATTCTTAGTATAGACTAGAATTATAATAACCTTTGTTTTGCCAATACAATGTACCAAATTAATTACAAATGTGGTGGTATTGGTAGTTTTTCGCATTAAGCCACAATGAATTTACCAGAGCACAGTTAGCCACCGTATTCTTCCTGGGCAAGCTGTCTAGCAGTTTACCAGTACTAGTTGCCTTCTCTTTCAACTGACAACTTCTGTACATACCAGAACAGAGGTATAGTGCGTATGACCATAGACAGGATTTTATGATCAATCACAACGAAAGTGACCTGCACTGTCTGAGAATCAAACCCAGAAAACACCCAATGCAAAGTCAACGCTCTACCTTTTAAGCAAACCCGACAGTGCCTGAATTACAAATGAGAGCACATAGGCTTTATATACTCAAAAAGCTCGTAGAAAAAGCAAACATAGTACTTATAAAACCTGAGCAAGGTTTAAAATTTTTTTTTTTTTGTTTTAAACAATTGTTTAAGTTATGTATTTCTAACAAATTTTTTGAAATGAAGGCTGGAGGGCAATTATTTATAAAAAAAATAAAATGATTTTAAAAAGACGTTTTAACAAAAATACCTATTTTTTAATAATTGCACATTTTGTATGTTACCCCAATTTAAATTAAGGATATGACAAACTACATTACAAAGCTTCAGAACTTAACATAGTGTCCTGTTGCTTATAAAGATACAGTTAGAATAAACAACGATCGAGATTAATGTAACATTTTATTGCTATCATAAAAACTAGGTCAAGTATTGTTAGCGCAACATTTTGTGTCTTCTGCTCTGCAACAAGAGTTATCAGAGCATGTATTTAAAACTTCATGTAAATCTTCAGTGTTCTTGTCTGAAACAGTTTTATCTGCTACAGTGTTCTGTTTATCTAAACAAACGTCTGCAGAACTGTTCTGTAACTTTTCTGCCTGCAAGCCTCCAGATGATGCTGAATGGTTGTCTGGTTTTATTTAAATTTTGACTGGTCTAGTTTTTCTCTGTCTGACTGGCCTATGAGCTTCATTATTGTTTGTCCAGGCACCAAGACTGTCATTAGCATAAAAATCCATTGGGTATACACTCTGCCACTGTACAGAATTCAACGCCACTGACATCTAAATAATATAACACAAAATATATTGCTAAAAAAAGAGAGACAGGTTTGGACAAAATATTGGAAAGTAAATTTTGAGATACTCGTAGAAAGCTTTAATCCAAGATATACTTTTACTTAATGTAACATATTAAATCATAAATGTGATATCCTGGCGGGATTTAAAAAAATCCTGATATTTCAACACTGATCCAGATTCCCGACATTACAGCTTGAATTCCCGATATTTAAAAAAAATCAACATGACTCTGTAAATTTACATGTATGAATTCGGCTCAACCTTTGATTTTCTTTGATTAGTGCCGCACTGATAAAGATTAAAGGTGAGCAGAATCATTTAAAATGGATGATTCAAAAACCTGTTTGAGATGCGGCAAATAGTACATGTCTAATTAACCTATTTTTAGTGAGTGGGTAATTTTTTTGTTGTTTTGTTTAGGAATTACACAATCATCGAGGCAAAAATGTGGATTTAATTTACTGGACGATTCTTGCATTTATTTTGAGTCTTCTACTTACGTTATGTTATTCAACTGTCAGAGTCTTTTGTTCATGAATAGGTTTTGCACGTTTTCAAATAGATTGTGTTTTAAATTATTAGCCAATCATTGTATGAGTGAAAAGACTGATATAATTATTTAAACTGAAAATAATGAAATGTGAAAATGTGACTGTTTTAGAAATAGCCTGTATGACTACACTTATTTATTTATCTATTTATTTATTTTTTGGTGAAATGAATTAATATTGATCAACAAAAAAATCATACAAAAATAAAATCATTTAATGATTTTGTGGGTAATATAGATTCTTTGAACAAAATGTGCCAAACACCCATTGAAATTCGAGTCAATAAAAAAATCCAGTTTTGAGCCTCAAAATCCAGCTGAAAATCCAGATATGGCCCATTTCATTTGTCACATGTATGTGAAATGTGACACAATGTAGTATATTTATAAAACCTAAGCTTACATACCTCGTATGGTGATAGTAAAGGTTTATCAAATGCCATTCCCCAATCTATTGACAATCTTGGACACGCAATTTGTACCCAACTACAATATAAACAGCTCTGTTACTATTCTGTTATATATGAAATGATAATATTTACTAATACATTGTATATTTTTTTAAGTACAGGTGATACATTTATATTTCTGTCACAAAATTTTTTTCGTCTGGTCTACTTGAAGGTCTTGTCCCAATGGCTTTTGTAGCCAAGTACGAAGCCAATACAATGAAAACTTAAAAAGTTATTATCAACTCTTTTGTTTTTTCGTGAAAAAAAAAAGTCAAGCTAAAAATGTGAAAGCAGCCTGACATTTATTTGTTATAACATAGCTACATTAAGTCTAGAAAAAAATTACTTGTTCTTTTTTTCTGTTAAACAAAATAATAAATGTAATCTTTGTTTAGTTTATAGTAGTATATTTGTTCCTGTAAATATTTTTTACTTACGCATCTATATCTTGGAACAGAGCAAGTTTATTTGGGAAAATCTCTGACAGTAACACAGTGACATATTTTCTACCACTTTCAACAATTTTATCTTGTAGATGCTGAAGATAAATCATCATGGGTTAGTTATCAATATAACAGATTTTTGTTTCCAAAAGGGCACTTTCCTATAAATCAACATCTGCCAAAATCTTATGTGTAATTAATGAAAATATATAGAGGATATTGAATAAGTGTAGTTTAATACTAGTCTCAATTTATTGAACAAGTTGAATAAAATCAATATTGTTTTATTCGAGTTCAATAAAATTATTATTGAATCTACACAAATATAATATTCTATTTATCACATATATAAAATAAGAACAGTAAACTGTTAAAATAACCTAATTTTTCAATGACGCGCCTATAGTGTAACGTTTACATTAGCGCGCTTTAATGCTTATATGTTTATATATAGCACAAACGTCATGTCAAAGAGTTATTACACTAGTGTAAAATCATTTTTATTAAATGGCATTATTATACTTCTGCGCCACAGTTTATGTGATAAATGTATATATCACGGATGTATCATATGTCCTGATTTCATTATGTTTGCAAAAAAAAACAAATCTCCACATTAAGTAATTTCATTCAGTCATACATGTATATTCCTAATTCTACTAAATGGTAGGTATATTTTTTGCACATTTTCTATACTAGTGAAAATACATTTGCTATTTATCGCCCAGACAACATTACGGTACACAGTCTTAAACAAATTAATTTTTTGGAAGTCAAAATACATGGACAATATTAATTGAATTCTCTTTAAACCAAAAACAATACAAGGTTTATATAATGTTGAATTTTAAACAATTTGTGGTTTATCTAAGGAGTCACAATCAGAAAAATATCTTTGTAATATACAAACTTAATCATATATAAGAGCAGTAAGTTCTTATCCAGTTCATTACAAGATCAACGTTTGACAGACAACCAATAAACTTGCTGGCAATGTGCATTAAGCTTTTAATCAAAGTTAGAATTTACCATATGATTAGGTATAAAAACCATGCACTACTCTGCTTGTAAATACTTGTAGAATATTTGTTTACAAAGTTTATACATTCACGAACCTGTAGAATTTTAGGATTTCCTTGTCTGCCTAGTGTACCAAGAATAATTCCAATATTTTGAGCACGAGATGCCCGGGCTATAGCTTGTCTACGTATTTCATGCATCTTCTCTGTCTCGTAATATTCTCGTGAAAATATCTTACTGTACGGATCATATCTAAAAATATTGAAAAAGGAAGAAATGTAAAAATATGGAGGAAAAATAATGCTGTATTAAATGTTTAAAGGAGAGTCTCTGGCCAAGTGACTGAGGTCTTTGACCTCAAACTACTTGCCACTCATAGCTGTTGGTTCAAATCCCTCCAGGGACATTGGATTCTTTCATGTGAGGAAACTATCCAGCTAGCTTAAAGAACGTCGGTGGTTCTACTTGGATGCCTGTTTGTGCTTGAAATAATGCACAGAGGGCCACTTGAGGTAAAGCTGGAAAGTCACCATATGACCTTTACAGTGTTAGTAAGTTGAGTAACTAATGTGCTTACTTACTCTTTTTAAAATTTATTAATTATTTATCTAACTGCATTCCCAACACAATATTACCATTCTACTGCCATAAACAATGCAGTGGACAAATAACTGACCTAAATGTTGACTGCATTAGGGGTTCATATAATCATTACTGTTCTTTAATATCATAGGATATCTTCATGGTACCTATATACTGGTCTTCAGTATATATCTTACCTGAATGCTGGTATATATTATCACACTTGCTACGCTCTCTACTGGTATACCAACTACATGTTTATACTATAAATGGTTAACAGGATTACTTATCTGCATAATGGGATATCAGGATAAAGTAACTGTGTTCTTGTGTATATAAGGATAAAATACCTGTATACTGGTGTATCAGAATGCTGGTATAATAGAAATCTTATCTGTATAGTGTATTCTGGTATATCAAGATATTTCACCTCTATACATGTGCTGGTATATTAGGATATTTCGTTTATATAAATGTTAACTGTATAGTGTGTAATGGTATATCAAGATGGTGTACCTGTAGGTTGGTTTAATGAGATAATTTACCTGTATGCTGGTATATCAGGATTATGGATCATTATTGACTCCAAATGAAATCTTCCATCTCCCAGATATCTGCAATAGTATGTTATATTCACATTGTATTGATTTTATGTATCAAAAATTATTTCTTGCATATCTTATATACTATTTCATTTCAATCTTTAGATTATGATGTGGCAGTCTAGTAGTCAAATTTTCTGAACATAGGTTTAAGCCATAATGGGATCACAAGACTTCTTTCTATTGACTAGTTATTTCTAGGAAATGTGCTTGAGAGTGTGTTCAAAAAAATAAGCTACACATTTTTTCACATCAAGCATAGATAGATAATGTTTAAATTAATCATGATTTAATATTTGAAGAATATAAAAAGCTTCAGTTGTTTTTACTAAAAAATTTGTGAAGATGAGAAATAGTAAGGTGATATGGCACATTATGTATCGTTTTTACTAATAAGTAAAATGGAACCCTGGGAGACTTGTTAGATAACTGTCTTCAAGTAAGTTATATAAATATTTATCATTGAACCAGCACTAGAAATCAACAACACTGACACAGAGAAACCATTACAGCATTAATTTTGACACTTACACAATGACATCAGCTCCAGTTAGTTTTGGTGATGTGCAGCCAAGTATTTCTCCAGGTGAGAGAGGTTTACACTGAGGTAATATTATCTTATATTCTTCCTTAAGATGTTCACTCACAGACTGAAAGAATAACAGATTTTTTAAGTATGGTGTGAGGTATAGATATATAAGCTTCGCGTTGTGTCTTGTTTCTATATCTTTTTTATTACATGTATCTCAATATAAACAAGTAAAGCGGTAGTGACGTTGATATATATGTTGACGTCATCTTGATTCCCGCCATCAATACGTCGTTGTTGTTTCCGCCTACACATAGCGTACGTCTTCCCGACATATGGTATAGTAAATGCTCAAATTTATTTTTAGTTAGCAAGATTATTAATTACTGACAGATTTATACATCTGAGTTCTCACTTAAAGAGCTATTTCCTAAGAGTTAAACATGTCTTTGTGAACCCATTAAAAGCAACTCTATTCTACATTCTCGCCTACCTCTCACAAGCATCAAAGTCTATGGTCGTACATATTTATACATATAAAAGTTTGGTATAAGTTTATCTATTGAAAATATAATGGTGAATGACACATCAACGTATTGAACTGTTTTTACACAAAATATTCAAAGTGCCTCCAGCTGAGAAATTTTCAGACTACTTGTATTTGTATGTGGCAGTCCAAAATAAATACTGGTAATTAAAAGAACCTATAACACAGTGTCAATATATACCTGTAATGCTGTAACAAACTGTATAGTGCTGACTAGTGCTAGGCTAGTACATGTACCTTGTGAGAAATTATGTCTCAATGTGTCTATAAAATGTACAGTGTCAATCTTAATGTCCACAAACACATATAACATCTGTATACCCTCTGTTCTATCTATAGGTACTGAAATATAAAACATATGAAATATTCAAATACCAGTCATGTGGTCTTCGACAAAATGTTTTTTCCCCAATTAGTTTAAAGGGTATAAAGCTATATCTTATGAAATATCTTTTATAAAATTCATCAACAATAAAATTATATCGTTTTTTAGACTCTTAAGGTCAATGCTCCAGACAGTTTTTTTTATATAAAATGCCTCTGTTATTTAACACAAATTAATATTATATGTAAACAAAATATAATATTCTGTAACAAAATATTATGCTGTTGTTTTTGTAAAGTTTTTAACTGTCAATCAATGAATTAAAGCAACTGCCATTTACTCTTAAGGAAATAAACTATATGTAATATATTTCTTTAATACATGCATATTGGAAGTATTCTTTTTCACAATTCAAACAATTTTTAACCATCTAGTGAGTAGTCGTTCTTTGAATAAGATGTCTTAAATTTGGGCCTTCAGGTATATTGTCAGAAAATTTTTCAAGCTTTTCATACTATGCCCAAAAACAAATGGCCTTGGGAAACAACCATTTTATGATCATAGGACAATGAACACAGCAAAGGTATTTTATGAATTCGAATAAAACATAATGACCCCTTGGGTGCAGGGAAAGATTACCTAGACAACTATGACCATAGTGGATCATGATGTCAGCTCCGAGAGCGCGGGCAGAATAATCATCAACACAACATGCCCCATATGTCACGTCTCCCATAATCAATGTATCGGCATCTGTAAATCTGATCATATACATTGTATGATTATTGTCATGTCATACATATTTAGTTATAAAGATATTGGCACTTTGTATAGCCCTAAATAAACAGTTGTTTGAATATATGACGGCAAGGGTTATATTGTAAACAAGTGTTTATATACGGACATATATTCTGTCAGCAAACGTCTTTTTTTAGAGGAAGAAAATTGTAATTTCTACAAAAACTGACAGCAGCCATGTATATAAAACTATATAAACATCACAATTATCCAACCAAGCAATGTCACAAATGCGCAGTATTACTGAATAATTGTTGTATATCGATAACTTACGGTATTAAGGTTATGCTAGTTTGATTACTTCAGGTACAAGAAAGTTTGCCTAAGTAGAACAATTTATAACTTCAATAAAAGCCTTTTAACATGAGCAAATTCATTATTCCTTACAACACTTAAACAAACAGTGGTGCGAGGCATGCAATTACAAGCCATAATGGTCAGTAACAAAATTTTGCAATTCTATGACCTTCTCTTCATACAGTTACATGTGAGAGATTTAAACAAAACTTTGTCTAATTTAAACTGCTTAAAAGTGCTACCAATAATATCTATTTCAGTATAAAATACTGATTCCACTGGGCATGGATGAATGTTCTGAAGTATTTTGTTTCAAGCTTTTTTTTTTCTATTTTCCTTTCAAGCCTTTTTTCGATTCCCTTTTCAAGCTTTTTTCTCTCTATTTTTTATTGTTTTCAAAAGTCTGCTTCCTTGATTTTGAAAATGTATAAGCCTTATGCCGATGTGAAATGACTTAAGGATTGAGATAACTCACTGTTCTATAATATCTGATATTGTACATGCAAATAACAAGAGACCTTCTGGGAACTGCAGGGCAACTGAAATATAAAACATATCATGTAAATTGAATATCAATGTTATCAACAATCAAAAACTATTTCCCTAAAATCATCTTTCAGCAGAGAAATCTAAGCTGATGGATTATATTATATATTATATATTTGTAAAATATAAAAAGAATCTTATGAACCTTAAAGGAGCTCCAGGGATGTTAAAAAGCAAAAAAAACATAAAATCTGAAATTCTTATTTACTAGTAGGTAATACATGTAATAGTCAAGAACTCAAAATGAAAAAGTCTGTAAAGGATAATAAAGAAATATATTCAAAATTCAATGAATATTGATCATTTAAGTGATTCTTAGCTAGATTTGAGTGCAACACTATTCATGTTTGGGCCATTTACACAAAAAAGGATTATCTGGGAAAACAGAGCTAGAAAATGATCTGAAAGTTTGAACACAATTTTTTGTTCAAGGCCTCTGTAAAATAGTACACAAATCTTTTTCACAAATATTTTCAGTCCTCTCATGAGACCCTTAAAAACCCTCAGTGGAGACCCTTTAAATACAATGTATGCGTATAAACAAACAAGTCTGCAGATAAATAAACACTGAAAAAATATACATTGCACGTATTAACTACATGTACATGTATCTACATTGTAATTTGATAAATTGTCACCATGGCAACAGCAGCATATAACCTACCTCTCTTTGCTCCAGTCTGTCTGATCCTCCATATTGTTTTAGGAATTTCAAAATTGTAATTTGATGGTAACTGAAAGCAAAAAAAATGGTGTCTGACACTTTTTCAGAGATTAATTAATAACGTACAATTTACAAAAGTTATACAGGATTTTCACTAAGGGGAATAATTCATTGAAAATCAAGGAGATATGCCAAAGTTTGGAAATTGGCCAGTGACCTGCAATTACGACACTAAAGACAGTGTGAAGTTTAAAAAGAATATCATCAGTCAGGTTGAATAGACAGACGTTGCATTTTACTTATTATTTTCCCAGTTGAAAAGGGATATTATTCAGTCAAAATCTAAGCTAGAAATATGGCTCCAGGAAAAACATTTATGATACCTGGTTTTAATGTTTAATTATGGGGATTAAGTAAAGTTTATTGTAGTTACTTCCCTTTGACCACTATTACAACACTGAAGCCATAAAAAGAAGCTAATAATGTAGCTAAAACATTAAGTTTGCCTAATAATCAAAAAGCTTGCCATAATTGTCTATTATATTTTGATTTTTCATTGCTATTGGAAAAAAATACATTTATCTTATAACATTAGTTTTTCATTATAAAAACAAGTGAAATTTTAAAAGCAATCTATCATTAAATGATACAGAAAGTTGATAATAATTGTTTCTGAAACCTGCTGAACTGCCTCATTTAACATGGCATCATTTAATATTTCATCTGGAATCTGGTGAGCAGTCTTTCTTGGTCCTGAAATATAAAACAATTGAATTACAATGTATTATGGTATGTTTCAAATCTTTTTCGGTCTAAATTATGTTGTATTTAAAATCAGGTAAACAATGATTTGATTTTAGCAGATTATAAGAATAGTTGGAAATGAATTGGATTTTGAATCTTGGCTTGGACATTCTTAATAGTGACTGTTTTTCAAAATAATGCTTTAATACACAAAAATGTATGTAATTTAAAAGTTAAGAAATTGGTTATTGTTATGCCACTTTAATTATATTAATGCCACTATTTCACTCCAACAAAATATGAAGATACTGATAAAGGAAAATATCTCTTGTACAGAAAAGAAGCATGTTTGTAAGTCTAAAACATCCTTAAAAAGGCGGGTTTTTTTTTTATATCCAGACAAATGTAATAATATTAATAACCTTAATTTACAATGGTTTAATAAAACAGTTTACATTCCAAATGAAATTTAACTTTTTATGAAGTTCTCTTTATATAATATTGTAATTAATATAGTGAAGTTGTAGGATATGAGTAAAAAAGTAGCAATCACAAGATAGGACAATAGTAACAGAAATTCACACCAAATTTAGTAGACTGTGGGGTAATATAAGGCCACTTCAACTAAATTGCAGTTGTGTTAACAGTTTAACAACATTATTGAATGTCCACCTAGTTATTTACAGATATAGGGTTCAGACACCAGTCAGTGTTTAGAATCTAGGTTTAGAATGGCAGCATCTGTGTGATGAAAATCATAACAGTGCATAACTTGTTTAAATATACAAAATGTATTTGTCTGAGCATAACTTAAAAATACAGTAACTAATGTTACATTCTCCTGAGAAGTCATCGACTTATAGTTGGCATTAAATATATATATATGAATGTACATGTATATACATTCAAGTAAGTGTACATAAAGAAAACAATAGCCAAATTGTGACATATCCGAAATTCAGGAATTTTCTATTTGTCATATATTTTCGCGACATTTTTATAATTAAAATTTTATATCATTTTTCAAAAACTTCGTAATAATACAATGTTTCATATAACCTTTTGGGCCAGTTATAACCTTCCTGTCACGTTTTGCTGGAACTATCACACACTCAGACATGTTTGTTTACATTTGTTGTTTTGACAGATGTAAACACGTGCTTATTTCATTACCGGTATGCCTAAAATACGAAAGTGAGATTTTGGACGAAAGTGAGCGAAAGTGGGCGAAAGTGACTTTTAAATTTTGAATTGTACCGTTTTAATAGAATTTCACACTGAATTTTCTGTTTGTAGACGTATATTATTAGCAACTAATAACATTTTTTTATAAAAATAATCCCTATGATGATTTAATCGCGATTTATTTGCACAATTTCTATACACAAGTTCTGAGATCTTCCTTTCGCTCACTTTGAAAAATAAAAAAGTGACATGTAAAATATTAAATATAGAGTTTAAATTGAAATTTGCAGTTTGCAGACGTATATCATCAGAAATATATAATATATATTTTCAATAACAATCAGTATGATGATTTAATCACCATTTGTTTGAATAATTTCTATGCACAAGTTCTGAGATCTTCCTTGCGCTCACATTGAAGAATACGAAAGTGACTTGTAAAATATGAAATAAAGCATTGTTCAAATTGAAAGTTACGCATAAATTGCATTTTTCAGGCGTATAATATCCAAAATTAATATTATTCATTTTCAAAATTAATCATTATGATGATTTTTACCCCATTTTTTCTACATAATTTCTATATATACAAGTTCAACAATCTTCCTTTCGCTCATGTGAACATTGAAAATACGAAAGTGACCTCTAAAATATCAAATACAAGGTTTAACTGAAATGTAGTGTTGAATATCAAATTATTAATTTCTGAAAATATACGTTTACAAACTGCAGTTTAAGGACATTTTCAATTCAAACTCAATATTTGATATTTTACAAGTCACTTTCGTATTTTTCAATGTAAGCGAAAGGAAGATCGCTGAACTTGTATATAGAAATTAGGCCAATAAATGGCGATTAAATCATGATTATGGTAATTTATTATAATATATATATAATAAGTTGCTAATAATATACGTCGACAAACAGCAATTGTACTGTAAAATTCTATTAAAACGATACAATTCAAATTCTAAAACTCACTTTCGCTCACTTTCGCTCACTTTCGTCAAAAATCTCACTTTCGTATTTTAGGCAAACCCTTTCATTACTGTATTCCTCCGCAATGTGGAAAACATTGTCTTTTTTTATCAAAATTGTTTGCACATTTGTAATATTAACTTTTCTATAATTTTGTCAGTCAATTTTGTGAGAAAAGAGACAGTTTTCACTTTTTTCGTGAACAGTTTTTAAAAACTATTTTATATGTGTATGTAGGTTCTTGGGTGTTGGTAGGCACTTCCGGCATATGCAACCCTGTAAACATGAATAGTGTAGGGGAAGAGTGTGTTGAACTCAAACGAGCTTACGACGAATGTTTTAATGAGTGGCTGTCTGAGAAATTTCTGAAAGGGGAGAAGTCGGAGCCATGTCCTGAACTGTTTAAACCCTACAATCAGTGTGTCAAGGTATCTGTTTAAACTAAGATGATGAAATACAGTAAAACATTCACATAAAAAACTCCTTTAGTGCTTGTTTCTTCCATTAAAGATTAACTGCTTGAGGTACATGTAGAACTTTCTACTGAATTATGATGAAATTGTGTTTTTGAACAGGGGTTCTTTGTGTCGATTAGTCACTACCCCGGATAGTTCTGGCTTCCATAACTTTATATGTCGCTTTTATTTTGACACTGCGAACAGGTCTAGCAGAACTATAAAACCTGTTCGCTGAAGTATCTTTAGCTATACCCCCTCTACAAAGCTGCCCTAAGTGTACTTTTCAAAAACAATCTAATTAATATGTCATTTTGTATCATCTGAAATATCATAGTATGGGACAAGCAACTACAATTGAATAAGCAGTCTAACCCGTCTTATGTTGGCGCCCAATGAGCATTCGATGGATCCATTTATAAGTGTATTGTTTAAATAGATGTTTATTAACTGATATTAATGCTCTTATTATAAGCATGGCTTTTAAATTAAATATAATTGAATCTGTATTATATTAATTACATTTATAAACTTTTGTATAATTATGTTTAGACAATTTAGCTACAAAAGTACTGTTTAAATCTTACATCTTTGGCATATATTCTCTTAATTAAATTAGTAAAATACTCTTTCACAATGATCAACTTGATGAAATAAAAAATCTGTTTACCTGATTGGCTGAACAAATAACTCAGCTGCTTGTCCCAGTTATCTGAAATTATCATATTTTCTTTTCCGTTTTTTTTAGGGATATTTTTATCAAAATTTTAATGATATCAAACATTTTAAAACTTTGTGTTTTATGTGAAAAATACTGCAGTTTAGATAAATATGTCACTTCTATTTTTTCTTTTCAATAAAACCTGTTAAGACATCTTTAACAAATATTAATTTTATATAAAATTTTCTTTTCATATTTTTCTAATGAGGTTTGTTATTCCTTTTTCAGAAAGCTATGAGGGAGAAGAATATTGAACCAAATGAAATTGAAAGACAAGTACTTGGGACAGCAGATGAGAAAAAACCACCGAGTTAAAGTGTGATAATATTGTAGAACAATCTTTAAATCCATTCCTTCTGCAGCATGAGTGACTTTCTAATGTTCACATAACATTAATGAATCACAAAATGTACATGTAAGAATCTGAAGTAAATGTTCATCTGTATAATTGTGACAGGATTATTGTGTTTAAATTGCAGCCTGTAATGAACTGTCTGAATTATTCTTGATATTCTGATGAGTTACATTTTGTCACATGTTTCCTGCAGGCAGATGTATAACTATAAACATTAGTTGTTGTGCTCTATCATTTGTTTAACTATATTATTGTGAACAATAGTTTAGTATGATGCAATTGTGATTTTTTATATTATTTTTATGAAAATAAAATAAAATTATTTAAACATGAGTAATTTCATTTGATTTCTTCTTAAAAAATATCTGCTTAGTATAATTGTAACAGATAATACGAGCAATCTTTCTTTAACCTTGATTACCTATGACTTAAGGATCCTTTTAGAGCTGAAATCAGAAAATATTTGTTGGCTCATTCTATACATTTATTAAAGGGACCATTATAGCTTACAGTGACTCCATTGAGTTTTTTTTGACATGATATTTGACGTGAAATATTTTTCCAAAATTTGTAAACCATTTGATGTTGGTCTGAATCATGTGCAAATTTGCTAATCATTCTCTCACCAATTTTTCCTTTCCAGTACATTAATTTTTATTATGCAAAATGACCCATAAATGAATGAATTTTACTCATATTGGGCGTAGAGTTGCACAAAAATCAATTCTGAGTATTTTCTTTATTATCCTTTGCAGATTTTTGTGTTGCCTTTAAAAGGGCATATAGGGGTTACTTTTGTTGGCGGTGGCATTGTCGGCGTCCCCAAAAGCTTGTCCTGCACATAACTTGGTCACTATTAGTCGGATTGACTCCAAACTTGATATGCATGCTCCTTTTAATAACCTGAAGTGCAGTGCGCAAGAACCGGTTCTCTGCACTTCTTAATTTTTGAGTTATTGCCCTTTGTTAATTTTCATACTTTATTTTTGACCAGGCCTTTTCTCATGGATTATAAAAGCTATCAACTTGAAACTTATAAGATGATAGATCTCATTAAGAATGAGTGCAGTGCACAAGAACTGGTACTCTGCACTTCTTACTTTTTGAGTTATTGCCCTTTGTTAATTTTAAAGATGATAAATCTTATTAAGAAGAAGTGCAGCGCATAAGAACCGGCACTCTGCACTTCATAATTTTTTAGTTATTGCCCTTTGTTAATTTTCATACGTTATTTTTCACCGGGCCATTTCTCCTAAACAATAAATGCTATTTACTTGAAACTTTATAGGATGATAGATCTCATTAAGGAAAAGTGCAGTGAACAAGAACCAGTTCTCTGCACTTCTTAATTTTTGAGTTATTGCCCTTTATTTATTTTCATACTTTATTTTTGTCAGTGCCATTTCTCCCAAACTATAAAAGCTTTGGATATGAATCTTCATAGAATGTTAGATCTCATTGAGATGAAGTGCAGTGCACAAAAACTGGTACTCCATGATTTTTGAGTCAATGCCTTTTGTTGATTTTCTTACTTTATTTTTATCCCGGCCATTTCACCTACACCATAAAAACTATGGACTTGAATCTTCATAGGATGGTAGATCTCATTAAGAAGAAGTGCAGTGCACAAAAACTGGTAATCTGCGCTTCTTTTTTTTTTTAGTTATTGCCCTTTAGCAGTGTTCATAAATTACCTATATTTAAGAAGAAAATGCCTAAGTGAGAACTATACTGTTCACAAGGCAACACATCCGACTCGCCAAGTTCTAGTTACTTTTTAAGTGCTTCTTTTGATATTATGATATAAAAATTTAAAAAATTTATGACTAGATTTGTTTACCTTTAAATAGCAAATATCCGAGGACAACTTTGTCATGAACTTAATCCATGTAATATCATCAGATTTGGTAGATTTAAATGAATATCATATTATGTCAGTTGTGACATTAGTAAAACTAAATGGCATCAAGAAAATTACTTTTCTGCTTGATGTTAGTATGTCTAATTATAATATTTTTCATCAAAATTAAAGGCTGTATGTAAACAAGGTTTGCAGTTATCACATGAAGCAATGATTTAATTAAAACTCAGCTTGGTTTTCTCCGCACATAAAAGGTGTTTTTGCATACCATATGTGGAAATAATTTTTTGGAAAATGTGCTGACATGCGCAAAATTGCAACATTTTTTCTGCAAATTGGAATGGCCAATGCGGAAATCTGGGCTAAGGGATAACAGAGCATGGTTGATTTTCTGAAGTTCATCTTGAAAACTTTACTTCTTTTTAAAAGATATCTCAAAAGATCTGATAACAAAGACCATAAAAATGTCAGACAAGCTAAATCCATAGATATCAGTAACTTAAAGCTCTTCCATTTGAGTTCATGACTTTTTGTACATATGCACCTTAGGATCTGATAAAACTATTAAGATACGGTAGTTTGGTATTTGTGTCACCGGCTTATTGACAAAGTTGGTATTTATACATTCAATGGTCTTTTTGCATGTTCATTTTGAAATGAAAACCATGCCAGAAGAGCCTTATGGGTTATAAGTGACCTTCATTTATTATCTCGAAGTTATCTCCAGTTTTTGAAGATTGATTGAGCATGTTAAACAGTAACTATGAATTTTCATAAATTTCCAGAAAGGGCCATAAAGTCCAAGTTAGAGTTACTGCCCTTGGACTGAGACTACCAATTATGGTCACAAAGACATCTAAAGTGGCAAGGCCACCAGATTATTATGGTATAGATCTGTTGACTATTACAGGAAGGTTGGTAAGCAGTCGGTTACATGTAGCTGGGTCAAAAGAGCTGCAGAGTGGGAGGGACCTATGTTTGAGCCCTAGTGAGGCTGCCAATTTTTGTCATCCTGTCACATACAATTATACGATGAAAAAAAACAACAACTATGTGGTTATCAAATAAACCTTGGATGGATAAACATAACTGTGTTCCACATTTTCCTTATTAATTATAAGTCTTATAGATTAAAATGAATTTTAATATACATTGGTGTGGGAAGTGCTGGGTACTTTATGGGCAATCCAAGGGTAATGAAAAATATTTTTATGATTATATTTTTGTTGCATTTTTGTGTGTTTTATATGTATATTTCCTCTGTAGCCTTTTGAAGATCATAACAACGTAAAAATGTATTCGTAATAATTTTAGGGTGTTGACACAAGTGACGTCACAATCTCTAAATTGGTTCTAAAAATAGAAACAAACTAGGTGTGGTAAAAATAGATTTTTAAGAATATTTTACTAAATTTAACCACTTTAAAAGGTCCGGTATGTGGAATTACATTAGACGTTACGCTGTTGAAGATTATAGGTCGTGAACAATTAAGCTAAAGTAACCAAAAACATGTCGGGTGAACATAAAACTGTGATAAAAGGGAATTCTTCTAAATATGTGAAGTTGAACGTAGGGGGTTCCCTCCATTATACGACCATAGGGACCCTTACCAAGCAAGATACCATGTTACGGGCGATGTTTAGTGGACGCATGGAGGTTCTTACAGATTCAGAAGGTATAACATTATCTTAAAGTAAGCATAAATACAGGAAAACGGTGTAATAAGTGTGAAAACTCACTTTTTTCAAGTTGTAAAATGTCAAATTTTTAGTGATAGATCTATCATCTAGTGATTAAATTTGGTGAACTGTATCAATGCATTTCCTGTATCTAATGCCCAGTCAATGTAACCCCAACCTGGGAATATAGTTACCAAAGCTTGAATTCTGAACCTGACAGAGAAGTGAGTTTAGTTTAATTTTTGGCAGTGTCTAGCCGTACGGACCCATATAGTCAAAATACATTAACTTATTAAGGTGCCAAGGCCGAATCCTGGTCAGCTCAGCCCTAAAACGTACTCGGCCCCCGAGTCAAATCGGCCCTATTCCCACTCGGCACAGGTCAACTCGGCCCACTTTTCAATTATTAATATTTAGGTTTGTGTTATCACTATTTATTGTAATTATTGTAACTATTTATAATACATAGATTGACAGTTTCCTAACTAGCAGCAGACAGGCTTTTCTTATCAGTAGAATTGCGAGTAAAGTTAACCGATTGCGTATCTCACTGTATTTCTGACTTGTACTCGTCGTAGGTTTAACCGTAAATTTAAATACCTTCAGTGTCAAAGAATGTGTTGAAATATATACTGAGAGGAAGCTTAGATCACCAGCTTTTAATTGATGTAATAAATTTTAAAATCGGACATTTAATCGCCCCAAACTAGCGATTTAAACATGGCTTTATCAAACGAATGGAAACAACTCTTGTTTTTTCACTTGATTTACCTCGGTTATTTACGTAGTTCATATTTTAAGAGACAGACAGAGAGAGTTTATAAATATAACAAAGAGCAAACAGTGCAGAAGTACAATGTATAATTATATAATAATAAGATATTTCTTATCATTCATTTACCTTAACAACATGCAAAGCAAAGTTAATACGTTATATATATTTTTGTAACTTGGGCCGAGTTGACCCGTGCCGAGTTGGTAAAGGGCCGAGTTGACTTTTCCTCCAAGGCCAGATGAGATTCCTAGATCATTTTCATTCTGGGTCAGAATCTCTCTTTTATATTGCGAGTTATTGCCCAGACAGAAAATAGCACAATATCTCATCGCGCAGTACAATTAGTTGGACTAGGGCCCGTATTGCTGAATCAGGGTCAGCTTGGCCCTAAAAGGTATTTGGCTCCGAGTTAGCTCCGTCCTATTCCAACTCGGCACGGGTCAACTTGGCCCATAATTAAATATTACTGGTAATGCTTACTTTTATTACTTTTTATATGTTTTCATTATAACTTTCATTTTTCACAGACCTCTACTCAAGGATATTGAAAAGTTTTAATTTGACAAAGTACCAATTTCTATGTGAATTTGTAGAGAAAGGAAGAATTTACAATTTATTTGCATGTTTTGTCAATATATATACTTCAGATGTTTGTTTTTTTTTAATTTCGTTCAAATAGCATTGGTCGTATAAAAGAACAAACAGTGTTAAATACAATAACATTTATTGTCATAAAATTCAGTCTAAAAACTATATTTATGGATCAATGTTTAACATATATTGTATTGATATCTCTTCTTAACAAAGATAATTTCAAAATTTCAAACAATTCGTACATGTACACTGCCAACCTTTTTAATTTCTGTTTGTAAGTGATCGTACTTCTGAATACTTTTATAATTATTTACTCCTTGAATTTTTTATTAACTAAACAATCTATATCGTAATATAAGTTAATAATAGAGGGCGGAATTGACCTGTGCTGAGTTGGTATAGGGCAGAGTTGACCCTTTACCCGTATTGCTAGCCAAAAGTTCTAGCCGTAGGTGAGTCACATATATCCAGCCTATACATTGTATATGTATGCACTGTTGAGGCCAATGTATTTTCAAACACTGATAGTATTTAGATCTGAAATACATCACTATGTCCTCTTAAAACTAAAAATTTCTCTATTTTTGTGCAATAACTTTTTTAAACACCTGTTTTAGAGATAAGCAGTATGATCAATGTTGTTAGGAGACAGTCTGTTTTTGGCCATTGACAAATTGTTTACTTTAGTAAATTACTTATAACTTGTAACGGTCCTGTTTTCATAATATAATATATTTTTATTTATATTTTGTTCTCTTTTTTTTACTATTTTCATTTGTATTATGTTACAGGTTGGATCTTAATAGACAGGAATGGTCAGTATTTTGGATACATTTTAAATTTTCTGCGTGATGGAACTGTTGCACTTCCAGACAGTAGGAGAGAACTGATGGAACTGTTGCAGGAAGCTAAATATTTCCTTGTTCAAGATCTGGTCAAACTTGTGGAGGCACATTTAAAGGTTTGATTATATTTAAGTTCTTACCATATATAAGTTATAACAAACTATTTTCTTGGAATTGTTGGAACAGATTGTTATTTTGAGGGATTTTGTTATTAAAATGCTAAAACCCTCTTTTCCTGCCAAAATTGTATACTGGGGTTGCTCTGCTTGAATTTGGATAATACATTAGAAAATTGAAGGATTTCAGTTTACAACTAATCTACCAACAGGGTAGAGCCTATTTAAATGAGCATACATGCTCGCCTAGCTTTATACCTGTTGAAAATGCTAATCACTTTTAGCTAAACAAGTTAAGGGTTACAAAATTAATGAGCTTGATTTACATATCAAGTGTCGATAGAAATGCTGAGAACTTTGTAAGAACTTGGGCGTGTATTTCTACTACATGTATGTATGTATACATGCATGATAAATCAGTTTCAGTTGATGGATTGAGCTGGTACAATTTGGAATGATATTTTGGTATCACCAAATTCATGATTCTGAAAACATAAATTTCCAATCCTCTACTAGCATGGACTAGCCACATCTCAACAGTTTTAATTTTGATCTGACTTTTTTTTCTTAGATGCTTACTATTATTTAAAGTCTTTAAATCAGTTTTAGCACATTAAAGTTTAAACAGTTCGTGAGAAAATTGTAATTTTTGAGCAACTGTAACATAGATATGTGTATCTTACAGAGACTTGGTAAGGATGATGTAGAACCAATGTGTCGTATACCACTGGTCACTTCACAAAGGGAGGAACAAAGTCTCATCTCAACAACTGTAAAGGTATGTTAATGTATCATTTTGTCCAAATTAAAGTTGAAGATTGTTTATGAGTGAGGTTTTAAGCAAAGTTTTCAGGTGCTCCTCCTTGTATTATTTTAGACACAAGCATAGTGATCTCGTAAAAAAATGACCTCAACTACCTTACCATAACAACTCTGTTTCACTATAACCACTATGTCTCATCATAACCCCTTTGTCTCATCAAAAGCACAACCTTACCATAACCACTCTATCTCAACATAACCACTACTTTATCATAATCACTTTGCCTCACCATTACCACTCTATTTCAACATAACCACTATCTCACGTGGCTCACCATAACCACTACCTCACCTGGCTCACCATAACCACTACCTCACCTGGCTCACCATAACCACTACCTCACCTGGCTCACCATAACCACTACCTCACCTGGCTCACCATAACCACTACCTCACCTGACTCACCATTACCACTACCTCATCTAGCTCACCATAACCACTACCTCACCTGGCTCACCATAACCACTACCCTCACCAGGCTCACCATAACCACTACCTCACCTGGCTCACCATAACCACTACCTCACCTGGCTCACCATAACCACTACCTCACCTTGCTCACCATAACCACTACCTCACCTGACTCACCATAACCACTACCTCATCTAGCTCACCATAACCACTACCTCACCAGGCTCACCATAACCACTACCTCACCTGACTCACCATAACCACTACCTCATCTCGCTCACCATAACCACTACCTCACCAGGCTCACCATAACCTAAACTATTAAGTAACAACCAGTGTGAATCAAAGTAAGAAATTTTATGATTACATGTACATATACATCATTATTCAAAAGTTACATTATTACACATCAGTCTCTTTTTCTGCTTTGTGAGGAAAGAACCTGAGATAAATTTGAAAATATTTCAGTTCTAAAACTAGCACAAGTTTGGATGAAAAATAGTATTTTATAATTTCACTTTGTTATACATGTATTTACTATTTTGTTATCTAAATATTTATATTATATTTCAGCCTGTGATTAAACTAATATGTAACAGACATAACAACAAGTATTCATACACTCCGTAAGTATATATTTATTATAAATTTTGACCAATGTTATATACTGTATGTTAAAAAATTGTTAAAAATACGAAATTAAAGTACATGCACCTCTTTTCCAAATGCTTCCAAGGCCCCTTGATGTAAAGTAAATCATTGATTTTCTTATTTGAATTTCATAAGGCTATGAATTTATTAGAATTTCAGCCAAACTGGAATTTATCACAAAATAAATTGTCTTAGTAAGTCTTACTTATTACTTAAGGCAATTTTATCTGGAAGTAGTTGTTGATGCTATTCTTAGCTTATTATAAAGCTTGAACATGATTTCTTGAGTAAGTTCTGAGTTTATTTGCATTACTTTACTGGTTGAATGAATGTTTGCAATGTAATTGTAAAAGATAGATATAATGAATAAGGATTTGTATTATTTTATTGCAGAAATTCTGATGACAATTTTTTGAAGAATTTGGAGCTATTTGACAAGTTAGCGTTAAGATTCAGTGGGCGTGTCTTATTTCTGAAAGATGTTCTAGGTAGTAGTGAAATCTGTTGCTGGTCATTCTACGGTCATAATCAGAAAATAGCCGAGGTTTGTTGTACATCCATTGTGTATGGTGAACAGAAAAAACATACTAAGGTATGTGTGTTTGTTTTTATATATACATTGTATATATAATTATATAAGTGATATATTAGTACATGTAATCATAGTTTATCATGACAATAATGAATTATGTCTGATGGTCATAAGCTCACTTACGAAACAAGGTGTTAGTCTCATATCATTACATGATCAACAGACTATCATTATAAATGACATATTATATATATTTAATTTCCTAATTTTGTCCTGAGCCTTCATTATGTCCATGTCTGCCTGCTTAGTTAAGTCTGGAGTCCAAAGGGTTTGTAATCCAGGTGTCGTTGGTTCGATCCTTGGACAAGGGGGAATTTTTTCATGACCATTGATCTCAGACATTGCGTGTAAAGGTCACTTGTCTCTCACCGTTGATTTGGATATTATGTTGCATTAGTAGTCTTTTGTTATGGAAATACTGAAATTAACTTTCTAATTATGTATTCAGGAAAGCTGGTTAGCTTTACCACCCATGAGACATTTAAAAAAAGATATGTTACATTGGTATTATAATCATGATACAAATTGTTTTGTCAACATAAAAGACTATCTTATGTTATATATTTGCACTATCGTTACTAAGCAGGGCATTAGTCGGATGTTTTATGTTACTAACAAATAGCTGGTTTAGTAAAATGCTAGGCATAAGAAAATTACTAAATTACAGCTCCTTAAAAAAGTGTTGGTATGATTTCAGGTTGAATTTCCTGAAGCAAAGATATATGAAGAGGCGTTAAATTGTCTACTATATGAAAACCGTCACTCGAGACCAGATGCTGAATTGATGAAAGCTACACGAGGGTTTGGAACAAACACAGGGGCGACTGGTTACCAGAGTGATGAAGAAATGGATGACATGTCACGTGTTCGGACAAACAGAAAATAAATTTATATCTTCAGAATGATGATGTGCATAATATTGGCAGGGGAGAATCTAAAAAGCATTTCGTATAAAAGAAACTTCCCCCTTGTATTTATGTTATATAAAGCGAGGAGAAGATGCCCTTTATAAGGGCTGTAGACTGTTGTATCGTATTTATTTTGTTGCATTTTAGAGTATATTGTTAAAGCGCTTTATTGATTTTGTGATACAGTCAACATTGTGGCCAGTAAGATGTCATTGACAAGATAAAATATTATAGTTTCAGAAAATATACAAAAAAAACAACTACATGCAGAATATACAAAAAAACTTCATGTACTGTCAGACTAATTCTTGTGTAAATTAGTAATTTATTAAATACCACACATTGTAATTGTATTGTTATAATAAATTGATGATTTTGGTACAATACAATTATATGTTACCCGAAGAAAATTGTTTATAGAAGCTTATGATTTTTTGGGGGAAAAGGTTTTACTCAATATTTATACAAACCTGTCTTGACTAAAGGCATCAGGTGTAAAGAGCTAAGTGAATTAGTAACTGAGCATGTGAGTGAGGGAGTGACTGTGTAAATAAGCAAGTGAGTGTTTGAATATCTGAGAAAAGTGAGTGAATGAAGTAGCAAATGAGTGAGAAAATGAGTGAGTGACGAGTGCAGTGATCACTGGTACACTGCCACTTCACTGTGCAATAGTTTATCTTATATATGTCTTTAATATAATTTCTTGAATGCAGACCAAACAAATTATAATATTTCTGCAATGGAGATTTCTTTTGCCCAGTTTCAACTTTTGATTTTATGAAAATTTATTTTTCAGAAATATTTTGGTAAAGTTTAAATTAACAGGTATACATTGGGCATTAAATGCTTATGTTATACATGGTAAATATGATAATACTGTTTTGACATCTAATTTTGTGTTTTCTTTGCTGGTTACACAATGTAGCAGTTTGTTGTATTGTAAAAATACTGGAAAGTTTATGATTTTTGTTAGTGGTTATGTGATGTATAATTCATGTTAATTTAAATTTTTGAGTATTGTTTTAGCTACATAAACATGCTAATAAGGCTCAATTCAAACGGTTTCTGTCATCTTCCATTTCTTTGCTCATCTTTTCGAAAAAGAAAAAGAGCTTTAATCATGATCCCCTCATAATTATTTGTTAACAATTTTGTTTAAGGTCACTTTTGCAGAAAGTATCAAAATATCTCAAAAACTTGATATACATACATGTTTACTATGAATACAAAAGGGGAGATAATCTAAATATTTATGGGTATAAGTTGTAACAAATATGATTAACTATAGCCAAAAATTATTGACTTTTCATGCCATGGGTCTAAATATATACTATACCCATATGAATTGTATTTTATGTATTTTATTTGTGCAGTGAGCTGGAACTTAAAAATGTTCTATGGGATTTAGAGGCACTATAATAGTAAAATTAAATGACAAATTTTTTAAAATGATTTAATGTACTCAAATCATGCTAAAAAGTCTCAGCATGAATTTCTATATAAATTCTAGATATTTCGGGTTTAAAGCGTAAATATATCTAGATATAATGAACAAACTTAGATGCCGACAGAATCACCGCATAGTTTTAAAACAAGCCATGTGACTTGAACAAACCTTGGAAGTTACAATAACAGATAATGTAGATATTGTATGATTGAAATAAGTTTAAGTTATTCATTTGACATGTTCTTTAACGTGTCCAGAGCTCACTGTGACAACTTTTGTGAAATCTTAACGTTCTAACCTGACTCACTTGGATCAAGTTAGTATGCCACTATTTTATTTTTTATAAGGAGTAAAGTTTTGTTCCTATGATTGCCTAGTGTATTTATTTTGAGGGCATTTACAGAGTAATGAATGAAAAAATCAAAACGGTGAAATGAAAATTTTGCCTGAGTCTCCCTTTAAAACTAAATGACTGGTTTCTGTAAATCCTGTTACATGACTATATCTGAAGTTGAACTAAATGTACATTTATATTTTGTTACTATTAAAGAGAACAAAATATAATGCTTTAATGATGGGGAAATGTGTGGTGTAAAATTCTAATGTAATCTAATGCTAGAACATGTGAGTTTATTTGAAAAATTATGACTCTTACTCATAAATTATTTATATAATTTGTATTTTTCTTTGTAAGTTAACTGAAGATTTTGTTAAAATTTTGAATTGATATTATATCAGCCCACTAAAAAATGAAATAATTATATTTTGGTATTTCTTGTTTGTCCCTTCTGAATTCCTACATCTACAACATTTTATAATCATTTAGAAACAACTGAAATTTAGGATGAAAACTAAACCAAAAAAAACCTGATTTACATTCCTTGAGAAATACCAAAGTTATGGCCATTTATACGAATTAAAATTAATTTTTAATGTATCCTAGTAATTCTGTAAAGGAATGCAAATAGTTTAGTTCTTGAGAAAGTAGGGTAGAAAATACCTCCACACTTCATTCATTTATAATTATATATATTTATTTAAATACTGTAAAATTCTCAAGCCTAGTCATATATCTCTTGCTTTCAATTACTTTCTACATAATTTAACCAAAAATGCTTTCTTATTCACAATTGTCATTTTTTACCCCTTTAAGACAAAGTTATGTAACATAACCATATTTTTTAAGAAAATATTTTGTGTAATGCATCAATGTCCAGTAGTACTGGATATGTCAGTAAAACATGGCCTGTTTTTATATACTTGTATGAATATTCAACTGGGTATACAATTTTATTGTATTTACTTGTTTACCATTAAACTGTTGTTTTGTATTGAAGTATTATTATTGTCAGCTACTGGTTAATTAAATTTTATAGATATATAAAAATAATAGAAGTTAAGATTTTTCTTTTTATCCTATTATTATTTTGATCAAGAGCTGGAATCACTGGTCACTTTTACACTGTCAATCAAATTGTCATAGACAAGTTCTGTAAGTTTAATGAATGCCCTATGGCCAGTTCTACTTTGGATTATTTCATGTGAGGAAGCTATCCAGCTTGCTTACGGAATGTCAGTGGTTCTACTTGAGTGCCTTGGGTCATCAGAAAAATGGCTTGCAAGCAAGTAGGCGGGTAGGTTGGCACCTGAGAGTTTTCTGAAAAGTAATCACATTGCTTTATTTGCTAGTGTAATTACGAAACTAATCCTAAAGCCAAAAGTTTTATTTACATATTCATTTTCATTGTATAACAACATGACTTCACATGCAAACAGAAGAAAACTACATATTTTCTTATCTTCTTTGTATATATCAATGCATATTTCAAGTCATGGAATCTACATTATACTCGTTTTATATTTCAAATCTGTTGGATTCTACATATACTCGCTGTGTATTTCAAGTCTTAGTATTCTACATATTAAATTCATAATATAAGCTTATAGCCGTAAACGATTCTACAAAAAAAATCATTCTCTGTTGCATTTCTAAAGGATTCTACAAAAATTCTTGGTATGCTTCAAATTCTTAAGGATTGTACAAATATCCATTGTACGATCCAAGTCTTGAGGATTCTACATACATTCAGCGAAAGTTTTAAGGATTCTACATATATTTAATTAAAGAAGCATCATGTGTTCACTGTCGATCTCACATTTGATGAATAGTTGATCATCTCGGAGATAGTCGTATGTATCCAGTATGTCCAACTCTATAAACCTCTGTGCACCGAAAGACGCGTTCCTCTCGCCTACAGGGCGTCCAAGAAATGGTTTGTTGTCTTTGATTGTATTTGGCTGAAAATTTAGATAATGTTCGAGAATGTTATTTTGTCATACAATTCTTGGTTTATAAGGTTATATCCAGGATGAAGTCGTAGTTGACCTGTTTCATTATTTGTGTCTCATAAATAAAACAAATAAGCATCTAATGGATAGCAGAACTGGAAAATGACAAAAATGGCTGAAGTTATAAAACTAGTCATGTCACTTTACTGCAGTGAAGGGTTAATTCCTATTAAAATTTGATAGAAGTTAACCCGTTACTGCTCTAAGGTAATGGTTTCTTTAAATTTTACCTCTACAATTGTAAAGACTTAACAAGTGATTGCAACATGGTCGTCTCGAGCTTGGAAGATTTCTAAATGAAGGTATTTCAAAGATAAATTTTACTGATCCTATAAAAGAATTTCATAGATTACGACGTGAAAGACAAAAAAAATAAGAACAAAACACACGTTGTGGTTGGATATTGGAATTATACCTGTATAATGTAGCTAACGTTACGTCTTGCCTCGGGATCCTGACATTGATCTATCAACGTGAAGGTGACAGTGTGACCGAACGGCCATAATAATAAAGGATCGTACTCGCCACTACATATACATATAAATATCGACAGAAACTTCCCCCGGGCTGTAAACAAAGGTAAATACATATAAATATCGACAGAAACTTCCCCCGAGCTGTAAACAAAGGTAAATACATATAAATATCGACAGAAACATCCTCCGGGCTGTAAACAAAGGTAAATACATATAAATATCGACAGAAGCTTCCCTCGAGCTGTAAACAAAGGTATATACATATAAATATCGACAGAAACTTCCCTCGTGCTGTAAATAAAGGCATATACATATCAATATCGACAGAAACTTCCCTCGTGCTTTTAATAAAGGCATATGATATAGATATCGACAGAAACTTCCCCCGGGCTGTAAACAAGGGCATATACATATAAATAGCGACAGAAACTTCCCTCGTGCTGTAAACAAAGGTAAATACATATAAATATAGACAGAAACTTAATTCCCTCGGGCTTCAAACAAAGGTAAATACATATAAATATAGACAGAAACTTCCCTCGTGCTGTAAACAAAGGTAAATACATATAAATATCGACAGAAGCTTCCCTCGTGCTGTAAACAAAGGTAAATACATATAAATATAGACAGAAACTTCCCCCGGGCTTCAAACAAAGGTAAATACATATAAATATAGACAGAAACTTCCCTCGTGCTGTAAACAAAGGTAAATACATATAAATATAGACAGAAACTTAATTCCCTCGGGCTTCAAACAAAGGTAAATACATATAAATATAGACAGAAACTTCCCTCGTGCTGTAAACAAAGGTAAATACATATAAATATCGATAGCAATTTCCTTTGGGTTGGAACCCAAAGCATATACTTGTAAATATCGACGTGCTGCGAACAAAGGCATATATGCATATTAATTTTTACAGAAACTTCCATCGGAGCTGCAAATAAAGACACTTTGTCATTCTGAAACAAATTCATAATTCATAACTTCTTTGTTTTACTTATGAAATGTATTATTCTTCATTGCACGCAATGAAAAGAAAACTGAAAATGTATTAAATTTAAATTCAACAAATTTTAGAAGCCTAGCTAGTTACATACGTTCGGTCTTAAGATCTTTTATTGTATCTACACTGTATGAAGATTGTTTTGACAACCTTACAATATTCAACGTTAAGTCATCATGAGCCCTTATTCAAAACGTTCAATTACGGGTACGTAATGCTATAGCGATACCGCCTGAATTAAAAAAAAACAACCTTTCCCGTCTCCGTATGGACACAAAGACAACGCCATCTTGTAACCATGGCGACTTGTGAGGAATGGCGGACTGAACAGTGTGGCTTTACGACCTAGCTTAGCTTCATGTACTTTCTCCGCCCACTTTTCTATTCTCCACACCATTTGACAACCATACAACTTCTCCAAGGCGTCAACCTTCCGCTCTAATGTAGTTATCTGATAGAAATTTAAATATTGACCGTTATAACTATATAATGAGAAACAAGACACAATTTTTTGGAAACCTTGAACTGTTTGTGTTAAAATTGAATATATTTTTTGGACGAAGAGCTATGCGACGAATGAATCTTTTCGGCTTGTTGTTGTTGTTTTTTTTTTTCACATGTGCATTATACTAATCATGTGGTCAGAAGGCATTGGGTCACTTTATTTGAATTTAATCAATAAGTCATGTCTTATGTAGACTTCAGGCAATGATTTTTTTTCTGCAAAGCTCGGTTTAAGTTAGCCGCAGCAAGTGTTAAATTTTGATATCACTGTGACTTACAGACTTCAGTTCTATGAACATCAGAAGAACTATTTCATGAAAAATAAAGGATCGTATAATCACACTTTAAATAGCCCGAAAATATTATTCCTATTTTGTGAAATGTCACCGACAAAATTAATGTGTTATTTGCAAGATACCTGTTGGAGTTGCTTCGTTAAGGATTTAGCATGAATTTCCAGCTCCTTGCGGTGAAGAATGACCGTGTCACATGCCATTCCCAGATGAACAATGGGGTCTTCTTTAATATGCTTATCCATATGCTTTCTCCTACACTGTAAAACATACATCTCTTAAAATTGTGTTCCTAAATAGGAATAACGAAACTCTAAAAGTGTCTTCAAAGAACTAACAAATAGGAATAGTGCTCAGAACATGCTCCTTTTGTCCCCAATAGTATCAAATACTTTTTAACAGAGTTTACCATACAAGAAGAGAGTGCATATCATTTTAATAAAGATTATCACTAACCACAAGAATGGTCACTGTGATTCAAGTACAAATGAGCCGCGTCATGACAAAACCAACATAATGCGTTTGCGACCAGCATGGATCCAGACCAGCCTGCGCATCCGCGCAGTCTGATCAGGATCCATGCTGTTCGCTATCAGTTACTCTACTTGTAAAAGGGTTGGTAAGCGAACAGCATGGATCCTGATCAGACTGCGCGGATGCGCAGGCTGGTCTGGATCCATGCTGGTCGCAAACCCATTATGTTGGTTTTGTCGTGACGCGGCTCAAATGTACATTAGGTTTCAGTAAACTTGAGTCAGTAAGTACATGTATTCTCATAACTTAGTTCCTGATGTTACAAAATTATGATAGATGACAATCATGAAATACAGAGTCCCTGCGAAACCTACCTCAAACTGACAACCACCATCCCAGAATGGACATTTTATCATTTCTCGTGTGCACGTGTTCTCCAAGTGATCTCGCATGTTCTCGCGCTCAAGTTCTTTACCATTACTACATTTGTTAGGACATGGCATCTTAAACTTCCCGCAAGTTCCTAAATGATGGACCTCCTCCTCAGCACGCATGCGCATTGAACAAAACTCGCAGCGTATATCACGTTTGTCACAGTCTTCTTGAAGATGATGTTTTAGCACGATTTTCTCGAGCTTCATTCCGCAGCCTTTTGGACATTTCAGTAAGTAATACTTGCAGTCGGCGACGTGAATCTGACAATAATAAACAAGAACTTTTCAAGTTTAATATATCGATCACTCAATCTGACTAAAGTTCAGATCTACTTATTTCTTACATTTACCTAATACGTATCGTTATTTAGGAGTTGATTTTAATTAGATTGATCAAGTCATTTATAATATTAACAATTAAAAACTGATATTTTCCTTTAAAGTTCTAAGCATTTTTAATCAAAGTTTATCTGTAAATTATGTTTTTCTTATACGTTTGAAATTTTATTAAAATACACTAGGAAATAACAAATCACGTGGTGTTTTCAGTTGTCAGAGTAACATTATTATTAAAGTAAATAAAACTGTAATTAGAAAATCCGACTACCTGAATATCCTTCAATTTACCCGACCACGTACATCCTTTAGTGTAGAAAGAACAGTTAACATTGAGAGCCTCTATCTCCTTCTGGTATTCCTTGTCAACAATAACCTGATAAACAGAGGCTATTTGTTATAACCTGATAAACAGAGCATATTTGTTATAACCTGATAAACATAGTATATTTGTTATAACCTGATAAACATAGCATATTTGTTATAACCTGATAAACATAGCATATTTGTTATAACCTGATAAACATAGCATATTTGTTATAACCTGATAAACAGAGCATATTTGTTATAACCTGATAAACATAACATATTTGTTATAACCTGATAAACAGAGCATATTTGTTTAGTTTTCATACCTTATTTCAACAAGTGAGCATCAGAAATATTTCCACTGAATTCACCGAATATTTAAAGATTTTTTTCAGTTTTAAATTTAAACTAGTCTAAACGACGCTTTTTCCAACCTGGGACTTATGTTCCAGTTCCGACAACAATCCAACTATCTTTTATATTTTTCAATTGTTTCAAACAGTAAAATTTGATTTTGTTCTATCCAAAAAGCAAATAACACAGAAGTGTTTTCTCATTTTCTTTAAACTTTATAAGTACTATTATCAGTAACGCAGTCAATAATTAAACACAAAACACGCATTCAAAACAATTGTTTAAATACTTTTATTGTGTTTCATCCATCCCGTGTCTTAAGAACTTATTATATAACCTTAGCTCAAACCCTGGAAAAAAAAACGTCAAAAATATGGATAATATCTAGATCATCTACAGAGTATGTGCGGTTTTCAGTAGGGTCCGAGGTTCTCCTTGGATTTCAGGCAATTGAATGTCAACTGACTAATGTAAATCATGGGAATTGAGACAGAACTCATTTTTCTAAAACCTCCAAAAGATAATGTCACCTCTATTCCTCGCGGTTGGAATACGGTTTACACTGGTCCATAAATAACAGAACTGCTGATTTAAAAAATGGAATAATCATTTTAATTTTACATGAATATTTCTATAGTGACCTGATGGAATTTAACAAACCCTTATGTGAGAATTTGAAAAACCTTGATCTGATTATAATTCGAATGTTTATGTTTGTTTTGTTTTTTTTCCTTAAAGGTCCATTATGCCCCAGAAATGCTTTATTTTTTATCCTGAAAGTTGATCAACGCTTATTTTTCTCTAATCGGACAAAGAATTGCACAAAATACGATTTTCAAATTATTTTTGAGTATTTCTTAATTAATTTTTGCATATCTCTATGTTTTAAGTGCCCTGGCTTTGTACGAAATTCAAATTTTATGTTTTTAGGCTTTTGGACTTCAGTCGAGTTCCTTTAAGCAACTTACATACTCTATTTAGATAAACTCTTGTTTGCCCTTCTGAATAAGATTTTTTTTAAATTATTTTATTAGGCATATCGTGCCTTTAAATATACATATGAAATATGCTTTATAATGTACATGTATCTATTATATATCACAATTTATTTCAAAATAAACTTTACATTACTAAAACGTTACAATGAATACTATAATAAAGCTGTAAAGTAACATATTTACTTGACGGTTTCTATCAATGGGAGTGCCGTCTATCGGGCATTTAGCGGTAGTCCTTAGTAGTTCCGGTAAACAGTTGGCACAACACCGGTGACTACATTCCTCGAACAGCACCGGGTACTTGAGCACGCTACCACACACCGGGCATTCATAATCCTTCTCCAGGGGATCAACAAAACAATATTCAAATTCTTCTTTCTCACTGAAAAAAACAAAACAAAACATTAATCGATAATGAAAAAAAAAAATGTTTATAATACAATAAGTAAAAAAGACTAAAAAATGGAGAAAGGATAATTTTATGATAAACAAAAATTCAAGTTTTTTCTGTAAATACAGGATTTATTTTCATCGATCGGTATAAAAAATAGCATATTCCACTCGTGCTTAACGCCACTCTTGATTTCTTTTCATGCCACTCGATGACAATAAGTCCATTAGTTATAGGAACTTGAATATTTTCTAGGTTTAAGAAACATGTTCGTGAAGTTAGCCAGACAGCCGGAACAGCCGGCTCCGGCTGCTCCGGCTGTTCCGGCTGTCTGGCTAACTTCACGAACATTTAAGAAACGGTAATTAATTCAGGATGAAGTAGATAGAAAAAGCTGTAAAAGTGAGAAAAGCTTCTATGAACGAAATATAGCTGGAATATGCTGACTATAGTACTTACACTATGTTAGGAACCTGTTCATTTCTCGAGCCGGCACGTGCATGGATGTCGTCACTTCCGGGAACAGATAAACTACTCATTATTTTATCTCGATGGTAACGCACAAAATTATATTAAGAGATTCCCTATGTGTAACAAATAATATCTTATCCCCAGGAAAGTCTTTCTAAAAAAGTAAGCAATATGTACCGCCATACATACTAGCTATAGGAAAGACGCGTTAACACTTAAATTGTTTCTAAGACTTATGAACTTAATATTGCTACTGAAAATTGATCGGACATGCCCAAACTCATGGCCCACTTTTTTATTTGTTTAAAGTGTGGTCAGTATTATTTTCCTTTGTTATACGAAGCTTTAAATTGTTCTTGTCTTTACAAAACTTTTCCAAATGTTTATATGACTAATTAAGCGATCAAGTTTAATCATTAATTATTCACATTGATGTTTGCTTTGTTTAACCTGTACATTGAGTTCCCCTGTTAAGTGATACTTTATCATTTCAGATAAATATACGAATATTTTTCTTTGTCGTAAGTCAAAATCAATTTTGTATATTTTCAGTTATCTCGTTTTACGTTAAAGTTATTTAGTAGTTATAGCGGTGACTGCTTTGCAGAAGCTGTAAAGTTACTGCGGTGGATTCTTGCAGCAGAGTTACTGCGGTACATATTCTGGAACTTAGAATCTGGAGTAAATCTGGCGGTAGCACAATATTCTGGCAGTAGAAGAAACTACGGGTTACTTTGGCAGTAGCAGTAACTTCGGGTTACTCTGGCAGTAGCAGTAACTCCGGGTTATTCTGGCAGTATCAGTAACTACGGGTCACTCTGACAGTACAAATGTATCAGTAACTACGGTTTACTTTTGCAGTATCAGTTACTCCGGGTTTCTCTGGCAGTATCAGTAACTCCGGGTTACTCTGGCAGTAGCGGTAACTCCGGGTTACTCTAGCAGTAACAGTAACTCCGGGTTAGCTGGCAGTATCAATCACTCCGGGTTACTCTAGCAGTATCAGTAACTACGGGTTACTCTGGCAGTAGCAGTAACTCCGGGTTATTCTAGCAGTAGCGATAACTCCGGGTTACTCTGGCAGTTTCAGTAACTCCGGGTTACACTGGCAGTATCAGTAACTCCGGGTTACTCTGGCAGTATCAGTAACTCCGGGTTATTCTGGCAGTAGCGGTAACTCCGGACAAAAGCCCCCCCCCCCCCCTATTTAAAAATGACATTCTTCTTATCACCATTTTAATCTTAAGCCTTTCATACTTAAAGACCCATAATGCCTCAGAATGGCTTTTATTCTTATTTCTCAAATGCTTTTATTTTTGGTATACTTTTATATATAGTTTCGAAAACGTTACTCATTGGTCAATTATCTGAACCATTTTTTTCATATGCTGCTTTTTACTTTTTCATAGATAGATAGATAAACTTTATTCATACAAAGGCAATATGCCCATCAGTACACAGTAATAATACAATCAGCAGTTACATATTAACATCAATGGCATGATATAGCATGGTATACATAAAATAGTTCTATTAAAAAGTCAATACTTATTCATTATAACATATCTAGTCTATTATATATGTGATACATATAAAATGTATATGATAACATCAATGACTTGATATAAGCATCATATATATGAAATAGTGAGAGGACAAGGTTATCGTTGATACAATGCACTGTCTCTTTTATCAAAACTTTTGTAAACAAATATTGCTAAATTTTTAACAATCCAAATATTTTCAGATTCAAATAGTTCTCTTAATTTAATTACATTAGGTCTCTTCCAAAAATATTTTTTCATATGCATTTGTCTAATATCTTGGTACAGGGGACATTCAAATAAAAAATGAAACTCATCCTCTAGAGTATTACAAAGTCTACATTTTCTTTCGTCAAATGATATTTTTTGTGGCCTATGCCATCTACCCGCTTCTACCTGACACTCTCAGTCTTGTTAATGCTTTTCTAAATTTAGTAATTTTAACAATGTCTAAATATGGCTGATATCTAAAACATGAAAAAAGTTTATATGTCCTGGCTCTTGTCGAATTTTCTAATTGAGCGTTCCATAGTTGTAAACAATTATCATACATTCTTTGCTTAAATACATCTATAAAAATATTTTTGTTTTCAACTCCTTGGAATAGCCACACATGATTAAAACCTAATGAGTCTAGTAAAAGTTTAATATTATAGGCCCATGAAATCTTATTAGGATACATTTCTAAGTCTCTTAACATCATATCGTATACATGTCTTATATATTTTGTGCATTCGCATTCTAATATTTTAAACCAGAATCTTACTATACATATTAGCTATTTGAAAGTAAACTTGTTCGACCTAATTCTCCATAGACAAAATTATTCTGGGTTTGGGCACGTACTCCTAAAAGTAGTTTACAATATTGTAAATGTATTCTTTCTATAACATTTGTTTCTTTGAATCCCCATATTTCACATCCATAGTTTAAAATAGGAACAACTAACTTATCAAATAGTTCTAAGGAGTGCTTAACATCAATATTAGTGAATTTAACTAAATTAGACTTGAGTTTGTATATTGCCTTCAACGCCTGGCCTGCTAATGTCTCGTGCGTTGCGCTAAAAGAACCACCTGTGGTAAATGTAATACCTAAATAAGAAATTTTTTTAACAATGTCTACAGTGTGACCATTATATGTGAAGTTCATATTTCTTCTGTTTGTGCCGCCTTTTCTAAATACAATTACCTTTGTTTTTTCAACATTAACTGTTAGTTTCCATTTCATACAATAGTCAAATAACAGATCTAAACCTTTTTGTAAACTAGTTTCGGTTTCCGCAAACATCACAATATCATCAGCTAACTGTATTTAAATGCTTAACTCTAGATTTAACATTATTATACATTGATCTTATGACATCTAATATCTTTCCTCTAATGCCTAACTTAAGTAATTTATACCATATTATATCACGTACAACAAAATCAAATGCCTTGGTAAAATCTATAAAGGCTACAAAAAGTTTTTTGTTATTGTTAAGCATATGATTAATTAATCCATGTAGAATAAAGATATTATCAATCGTTCCCATATTTTTTCGGAAGCCTGCCTGTGCTTCAATATACACATTATAATCTTCGGCCCAACAATTTAATCGGTTATTCAAAACTTTAGTAAATAGCTTGCCTATAGTACTTAATAAAGTAATTGGTCTGTAATTTCCAGATTCATCTGTATCACCTTTTTGTGTATAGGGATGATGTATCCTTCAGTCCACTTTTCAGGGAAATAACCGAGGTCAAAAATTTTGTTAAATAAATTTTTAAGGAAAGATAAGAAAAATCTATTTTGAGACCCATATTTAAAAAAATCATTTAAAACTAAGTCTGGACCTGCCGCTTTTCCTAATTTTAACTCATTACAAGCTTTTAAAACCTCAGCAGAAGAAATTTCCACGTTTAATTCTGAAAACATAACGTTAAGCTCATTATTAAGATATCTTTCTTTAAAATGTAGAACATCATCATCAGGTTGAAAAAATGCAGACTCTGGGTTGTTAACTGCTTTAAAATATTCAGCAAAACGATCAGCAGAAATATTGTTCGAAATATTATTACCACACAAACTTTTTAACAATTTCCAATACTCTTTTGCATTTGAAAGTCTCATTTTTTCTAATTTTGTAGTTTGCATTTTGTCAAAATTATACCTTTTATTTCTTACTAGACATTTATATAGTGATTTAGTATTTTATATGGAAGTCAAAATACTACTTAAATTTTGCTACTTTTATGACAAATTATTTTACATTATCGCCAATTTCTTCAGGTTACAAGCAATTACCTTGCTCTAAAATCATTATTTGAACGTTAAAAAATACATGCATGCCTATTCTAATGAAGTTTAATCGTATTCATTTCTGAGGCATAATGTGCCTTTAAACCTATACAAGAAAGCGTGAAACTTAATGTTGTTGCCTTAAACTCATTTGTTAAATTATCCAGCTATAAAATATAAACAAAAATGTAAGGTGGAATCATATCTGAATTTAACTTGAATAATTTTCAGTTTGTTGTTGCTGTTTGTTCCAGACTCCGAAAGTTGGTGCTGGTTTTGATTATCAGAGACCGAGTTATGTTTTGATTAATTGTTTTGATTCCAACTGTCCAGAGGAGTGTTAGTTTAGAAGCGCTTTTGTTGAGTTGAATTGTCCCTGTCAGAACTTAGCGTTCCCTATTAATTAACGATCCCCATATTTAGAAAATGAAAGTTTTCTTTTATTTTCTTAGAGGGCGCTTCGTGCATTTTGGTTGGTCAAAACTGTCCCTAGAAATGATAATTTTATGCAAATACATGATGCCGCCTTCCCAAGGCGCAGTAGAAGTTGAGATATCGGAATGTGAAGTACGAATGGTGTGTGTTTCAAATTACTAAGTTTCGGACACAGATACCATTGTTCAGTAAGCTTTTTTGTTTTACTTGCCTTCGATCGGGAAAACTATTGTTTAAACAATATTTGTCCCAAAATAATTACATTTATTATTGTTAAGGTAAATACATTTACAATTTTATGCTAAGATAAATAAAACCGTATCATAGTTAAAATTTTGCTGTAAAAGTTGATAATCAGTAATTATATTAATTTATAAATGTTAACGTGACTAGCAGCAGGATTCCCACAGTAATTGTTCATAGTTAAGGATGAATTGTATTGTTATTCGTTAATTTGTTAGTATGTATGAATAGTTTGTATGTTGTTTGTATATATGTTATTATTTAAAGTATAAATTTTAACTTTCAGATAAACGCTATACGCTATATATATCGAACTGGAATAAAAGTTGAAATATAGCGCGTGCATTACATCTTCTTGTTTGCGAAGCTGCCCGCTACGGCTGTGTTGTAGTGTCCATGTAATTGTTTGAAGAGTTTGAAGTGAACACCGGTATTAACGTGTTCTCTCTTACCCACGTAATATACAGTTATTGAACAGTAGTTAACTTACAGTTATTAAACAGTTGAAGTGAACACTAGTGCAAACGTGTTCTTTTCAGGCACTGTTTAAGTTATTGAACATA